GACCTCCCCAACTTGCAACATAAATTGATCGACTATCATCATCAATATAGATGCCAATAGGGCTATGTAATCGATCTAAGTCATTTACTGCGCTAATAATAACTGGATTTGGTTTCCATTTTATTTTTATTCCGTAGTGTTTCGATGGATTTAAATTAGTTGGAGTAGGAAAATTTTCTAAAAAAGAAAAGTCACATTTACTAATGTCTTCGATTGAGTGTGACATCTCGTGGATGAGATAAAGTAGACGAAAGAATACTTTTCTCATTCTCTTAGTTCTACTTAGAAGGCGAGTTCTATGTGTTAAGCTAAATTTTCGCGTTCTTCCTCACGTTTTTTAAGTCATGGTAATTGCATTGGCTTCGAAGACAGCTGATTGGACTGAAGAGAAACTTCGAAGTTGTTTGGTATTCCTAGAGAACTCGTAAAATGGTCTGAAAATGTAGTATTTTCATTTGCCTTATCTAATAAAAAGAATACGCGTATATGCATCAATGTCCATGATTGTAAATAGTAAAATTTCGATAAATCTTTGACTGAATGTCAAACTAGTGCGACAAACTCATGTGCACATCTCTAATTTCTTCTAAAAACATTTCCGTAAGGTTGAAATCGATTTTGTGATATTCGTATTTTACTTAATTTCCATTCTGAAAAAACTTCACTGAAATCAGACGGCATTCGTTATCCGTATCTGAAATCTAAAATGTGTGTACTGCTGCATAATTACCTTTTGTTTCAAGTTGTATTATTCGATTGTTTAATTGTTTGATTGTTTCAATATATTGATTATTATATGTTTCCAAATGATTAATATAAATGAAATTCTTAATGATGAAAAATATCAATATTCCAAATCCAATGATTGTCAATAGAACGAATAAGAATAAATATCCCCAACGTATATTTATCGATCCCAATATTTTTGATCTCGAACTGAATTTATCTGTACTAAAAGTAACTATCGATTCTTGATTAATGTTTGTATTGTCTGTATTAATCATTGTACTCGTTTCATCGTCAGTATTTTCCTGATTAATAACAGCTAATTGGAAGTTTTTTTTAACAATTTAACAATAGAAATGTATTTAATCACTTACAGTCTTTTGCAGTAGAACTATCGTTTTCCAGATCCTCTAGAAGATGATTTATCAAAGGTGGCATTAACACAGATAAACTTTCGACTGATTGATTCGTTCTTTGAGAATGATTTTGTCTCCAATGTTCTACAAAATCTAATAACAAATTAATCAAAGATCAATCGAATTACCTCTTAATAATTTTACAGCATCAATACATTGAATTTCATCAAATGCATTGATTAAAAAAGTAATATCATTTTCATTAATTTTGTCTTGATCAAAAAGCGATTCCATCAAACTAAGAGTTCCACCAAGTGTTGGATCATCTCGAATTCGTCTTGGAACATCATTACCGAGATAAAAATGCAAACGCTTTCGATCATCATCCGACAGACGATCTTGTAATTTCAATATAATCGCACGTAAACGATGGCTATCCATCCATTCGTATTTTTTTTTATAAAATGCGATCTGAAAGAGAATATTGAAATAGTGTATTTTCACCAAAATAAAAGTTTTGGTTGTCATAAAAGATTCTGGTAGTGAATATACTGAAGTTTATAGGATAATTCATGTTAATTTCAATAAATTGAGAGGAAAATTGTAAGACTATATTCCGAAAGAGAAAACTCCAGGTCAGAATTTATATTTGCCGATTTGTCACACATAGTTCTCTTCTCTGCTGGTTCGAAAAAGTGCAAATATTGTGTTGGAAAACTGTTCAGTTAACCGCTAATTGAAAATAAGATTTGGAAAGCCGATTTTAACCAATAAAAACCAATTTTTAATAATCTTTCCGAATTTCGACAGTAAAATTCCATTTTTCTGTATGTGAGATTTGGTAAAACTGATTCCAATACAACCCTCCTCCCCTCTCGTACGGCACACGATAAATCAGAAAAACTGTGTGGACATCGCTCGATGAAAATTACCCGACACAGCTTTTTCGAAAGGAATCTTCATTGAAAAATTTTTCTTACTCACTTAACACTGTTGATAAACTAAAACTGCAAATACGATAAATGCGAGAATCTTTCTTCAGATTCGGTTTAGTGTCGTTAATTAATGATAATAACAAATTCAAAATGTCAAGGAGAAATGCGTACATGTTTTTATATTGATCAGTAAAGAAAGAAAGGGAGAGAGAGTGAAATATAAATACGATACCGATTTTTTTTATGAAGATAACGAATGTTTACATAGTTGAAAGTGATCACATGTCGTGGTCGATGATGAGAATGAGAATAAAAAAGGAAAGAAAATATAACATGGATGCACATACAATAAATAATCAAACGAAAATAATAAATCATGTCGTTCTTTTTTTCTTTTATTAATCAGACGGAACCGCCGATTATGGAAAAAAAAACAACGATAATTGATGGTTGGGTTTCAATCAGTAAATATTCATAATTAAATACAAAAGAGAAAACAACAAAGTACGCATTAGTATCATTACAGTTCTTGATTCTTTTTCATATGAAGAAGCAGCTCTTCTATAATTTTTTGTTATTAAAAATCAGTCGATTGATAGATTGAATCTAACTGATAAAGTTATGATACAAATTCTCAATATAGCTTAAACATTTGTTATTACGAATGTTGAATAATTTTCACAACAAAGATGTGTTATATTCAATTTCAAATCTTGATCTTTTACTAGGAGCGATCTATTATCAAACTGAGCAACGAAGTAACAGCTTCAACTTAGTATCAATTTAACGAATCGAAAATGATGAAATATATAGCGGGACAAATGAAAATTGCGTGTCAGTCAATCTATATAAATGCTTATCTTTTTGTTCCATCGAATGCCATTAATTAGGATCTAATATGGCCTAAACATACTTCAGTATGGAGATCGAATGATATCCTCGACTATGAGACTTTAACACCTAACAACTTCTCATATAGTGCCACATAGAGTTATTTTTAGAAGAAAACGACATCGCAAAATACTTTTCTAACTATCTGCTAATCTTAGTAGTCGATTTTTATCTTCAATTATTTCTGAGTGATGAATATTGTAAATCGGAGGATTTTTTTTCATACATAATCTTTGACGTGCAACAAATCATCAAATGACCCACTCGATGACTCGAAAAAGAATTACTGTTGAACATAAAATAAAAACACTCGTTTTATTATTTCTCCATTTCCTCTGCAATTTTACGAGTATTTCCCAAATAAATTTCAAAAGTTTCTGTTTGGTATTCTTCTTCGTAACTGCTTTTTCCTGCAGAACATCCATCAAATAAGAATGATTCTGTAGTATACGTATAACGTATAGTTCCTGTTCCTTTTTCGTATTCAATGCACGCTTTCCATCCATCTTGAATTGTAATTGTCACCGATTCTTCATGTGACATTGACGACGCAATATTAAGTTCAATATTAAAAGCTGTACACAATGCTTTGATTGGTAATTCGACATTGGTAGATATTCCAAAAGATTTGCTACGACCAACTGTATAACCAATGCTTCTTGTGTCATCACCCGGTCCAGAATTTTCATGCCACGGTGTTCTCAATGTGTGAACTTGTTTATCAATAACTTCAGCTTTAGTCAACTCTTTTTTTCTTTTAACCACTCCGAAGTCGTCCATCTTGCGATATAAAAACCAATGTAAAAAAAACACTTTTACAACAATCTTGTGTAATATAATATGTAGACAAAGCAAGCAATGACAACAAAAAGGTAACATTAGAACATACGAAAGACATAAAGATATTGACGTACACACACGACCTGTCAATAAATAATAGTTTGATATATGCTGTAGTGTAATAACAAAATATAGAGGAAAGTAGTTTCAACTATTTTTTTCAAGATTCAAAGTACAAATGAAGTGTTTTGTTCTTTTATACGGTGTTTAAGTAAAGTTATATTTGAAATAATTGATTAAAACTGAGAGATTAAATGACGTCAATCGAGATTTATATTCATACTTTCAAAAACAAGAATTTTCAAAATCTAATTAGAATCTTTTTTTGTAAAATTCAAAGAATAGATGTTGATCAAATCAGTTCTTGTAGCGACACACAATCAAAATTACACTCGATTTCTGACAAAACACATTTAAATGTATTTCACATGAAAAATATGATGTGTGTATAAACATAAGATACTTTCACTTTAACTGCATTTCACTTGTTTCTTCTGCTTGAATATCTGAATTTGAAAAGAATTTGTTCTCCGTATACAAATATAACAATATTTTATTAAGAAGGAACGAAACTACATACATTGACATACAAAGCGAGAAGAAAATCTTATTCACAAATCAATCGAATTTGAATAAGACAACGACACGTCATATTTCGAAATGTCCCTTCAAGGGACATTGAATTAATCGCGTTAGAACAGAGGAGTTAAGCTGTATTCGTGAAAACTATTGTTTTTCTGAACAAAGACAGCCAAGATGAATGTATGACGGAGGAAAATCACGCCAAAACAGTTCTCGCGAACTTCGACATAGCTTCGAGTGCGAGTCTATTTTGAAGTAAAATTGGGTGCGCGGATATTTCTATATCTTGACATATACAATACAGATTTTGAGTAATATCATGAGAAACAATCGTAAACTGTAATATAAAACAACTTTGCACATTTTTTACTATTATAACAAGTACCGTTTTAGAGGCATTTCTTGCTCAATCAACCATCGAAGGTACCTCGAAATATCACGAGAATAAACTCACGGTGGTCCTGAACCATGTAACATGGCCACCCAAGCGGAGAGTTATTAGAATCACACTTCACCCAGACCGTCTGGGTGGAAAACATCTTTAATACCACCCAGCGGTTTTGAGCGTGATATATGCATATTCATAGCCCAGAACCTCCATTTATATGATGATTTCGTTCCCTGCATTCAAAAAGTTCCCTTCGGTTTTTAATAGTTAAACTTGAATACAGACGTTGAATTCCAAATGGTAAACCCAAACTAAGAATTCTGAAATATCGAAGAGTATTAACATTTCTCTCTATTTGAATCCAGAAAGAAGAAAATTTATTTGAATCAATAACATTCGATAAGATAATGATCGTTCTGTTGCATCGCATTCTTTCGATTTTCAGAAGTCATTCCGGAACGAATGATTCATATACCAAAAATAGCGAGAAATATATCTCCATGATGATTCATCCGTATTGTTACATCATTTTAAGAATATCTCAATTCACTATTATTTGATATTATTTTCCTTAAATATAAATAGAAATCTTTTGAAAATAATGTACATTTGTTGTTCACAATGATTCTGATTCATTATCTTTCTTTATTAGGAATTTGTTTTATATTTGGAATCAAAATTAAAATAATTTAGATTTATTAAATCATCACTTTTCGTCTTTAAGAGTAAAACAGAGTCAAACATTATAGAAAAATACCTTTAAAGACGTAATTAAATTCTCCGTCGATCTTAACGAAAAGACAAACGTGAAATTATCATTTCTGAATTCTCCAAGATATGAATTCTGCGAAAAAAATACTCTTTTCTTGTCGACGAATTGTTATTTGATGATATTTCCAACATAAAGTATCAAAGAAAACAAATATAAAGATAAAAGAACTTCATTTCTTTTCATATTTTACATCGTTCGATTGTTGTAGGTAATTTATATTTTAAAAAACAACACAAAGACACAAAAAACAATGGCAACTTCTCTCGAACATTCTCAAATAATTCTTCCAATTTCATCTAAAACGATACAAACATTTGGAACAATAAATCAATATAAAATTCCAACTTTTCTTCTTATTTGGCTCGATCAAAGTATTGATGAAGTTCATAATAACGATTCTCGTCATACATTAAAACAATTACGTCAAGTAATTCACGTTGTACATACATTTACAAATGTGAAACAATGTGTCGATTTTCTTAATAATATCAAAGAAGAAATAAAGATCATTTTAATCTCTTCTGGTGCATTTGGTCAAATAATTGTAGAGAATATACATAATATGACACAAGTCAATGCTATTTGTATATATTGTGCAAATAAAAATAAACACGAAAAATGGGTTCAAAAATGGACAAAAGTGAAAGGAGTTTTTACAAATATTCTGCATATTTGTGAAGTAATCAAACAGATCGTTAAACAAAATGATCAAAATTTCATATCGATGAGATTTATTTCTGCGAATGAAGAAATCTTAAAGCAAAAATTAGATCAATCATTCATGTTTACTCAAATTCTCAAAGAAATTCTCTTAACTATCGATTATAAGCCAATACATTTTGAAGAATTTCTCAAATATTTTCGTGAAGAATTTGTCAATAATTCAATTGAATTAGCAAATCTTGATAAATTAGAAAGAGAATATCGTCGTGAGGAATGTATTAAATGGTATACATTTCATTCTTTTCTTTATTCAATGCTTAACCATGCATTACGTTTCATGGAAATCAATTTAATTCTTAAAATGGGTTTCTACATTCGTGATCTTCACAAACATATCGAACAACTTCATTCCGAACAATTTCCCAAAAAGAACATTTCAATGAAATTTACTGTTTATCGTGGTCAACTTCTCTCTCAAACAGATTTTCATCAATTGAAGGAAAATATCGGTGGACTCATTTCATTTAATAACTTTTTATCAACCAGTAAAGATCGTCAGATTTCCTTAGATTTTGCTTGTTCAATTGCTAAGCCGTCTGACATGGTCGGTATTCTTTTTATTATAGAAATTGATCCTTCAATACGATCAACTCCTTTTGCCAATATTCAACATTGTAGTCATTATCATAACGAAGAAGAAGTTCTCTTCTCGATGAATTCGGTATTTNCTAATAACAAATTAATCAAAGTTCAATCGAATTACCTCTCAATAATTTTACAGCATCAATACATTGAATTTCATCAAATGCATTGATTAAAAAAGTAATATCATTTTCATTAATTTTATCTTGATCAAAAAGTGATTCCATCAAACTAAGAGTTCCACCAAGTGTTGGATCATCTCGAATTCGTCTTGGAACATCATTACCGAGATAAAAATGCAAACGTTTTCGATCATCATCCGACAGACGATCTTGTAATTTCAATATAATCGCACGTAAACGATGACTATCCATCAATTCGTATTTTTTATAAAATACAATCTGAAAGAGAATATTGAAATAGTGTATTTTCACAAAAATAAAAGTTTTAGTTATCATAATAGATTCTGGTAGTGAATATACTAAAGTGTATAGGACAATTCGTGTTAATTTCAATAAATTGTGAGGGAAATTGTAAGACTATATTCCGAAAGAGAAAACTCTAGGTCAAAATTTATATTTGCCGATTTGTCACACATAGTTCTCTTCTCTGTTGGTTCGAAAAAGTACAAATATTGTGTCGAAGAACTGTTCGGTCAGCCACTAATTGAAAAAAAGATTTAGAAAGCCTATTTTAGCCAATAAAAATGAACTGTTAATAATCTTTTCGAATTTTGACCGTAAAATTGTAATTTTCTGTATGTGAGATCTGGTAAAACTAATTCCAATACAACTCCTCTCCCTTCTCGTACGATACACGATAAATCAGAGAAGCTGTGTGAACATCACTCGGTGGAAATTGTCCGAAACGGCTTTTTCGAAAGAAATCTTCATTGAAAAATCTTTCTTACTCACTTAAAACTGTTGATAAACTAAAACTGCAAATACGATAAATCCGAGAATCTTTCTTCAGATTCGATTTAGTGTCATTAATTAATGATAATAACGAATTCAAAATGTCAAGGAAAAATGCGTACATGTTTTTATATTGATCAGTAAAGAAAGAAAGAGAGAGAGAGAGTGAAATGTAAATACGATACCGGTTTTTTTTTATGAAGATAACGAATGTTTACATAGTTGAAAGTGATCACATGTCGTGTTCGATGATAGAGAATGAGAATAAAAAAGGAAAGAAAATACAATATGGATGCACATACAATAAATAGTCAAACGAAAATAATAAATTATGTCGCTCTTTTTTTTTCCATAAATTACACAGAACCACCGATTATGGGAAAAAACCACGGCAATTGATGGTTGAGTTTGAATCAATAAATATTCCTAATTAAATATAAAAGAGAAAACAACAAAGTACGCATTAGTATCATTTACAGTTCTTGATTCTTTTTCATATGAAGAAGCAGCTCTTCTATAATTTTTTGTTATTAAAAATCAGTCGATTGATAGGTTGAATCTAACTGATAAAGTTATGATACAAATTGTCAATATAGCTTAAACATTTGTTATTACGAATGTTGAATCATTTTCACAACAAAGATGTATTATATTCAATTCCAAATCTTGATCTTTTACTAGGAACGATCTATTATCAAACTGAGCAAAGAAGGAACATCTTCAACTGAGTATCAATTCACGAACCAAAAATGACGAAAAATATAGCGGGACAAATAAAAATTGCATGTCAATCAATCTATATAAATGCTTATCTTTTTCTTCCATCGAATACCATTAATTAGGATCTAACGGCCTAAACATACTTCAGTAAGATAGTAGATGAAGATCGAATAATATCCTCGGCTATGAGACTTTAACGCTCAACAATTTCCCATATAGTGACGCATAAAGTCATCTTTAGAAGAAACCGGCATTGCAAAACATTTTTCTACCTATCCGCTAATGTTAGTAGTCGATGTTTATCTTCAATTATTTCTGAGTGATGAATATTGTAAATCGAAGGACTTTTTTTCGTNATATTTTGAAATGTCCAACGATATGTTGAGCCAGTTAGTGTATATAAATAAAATGAAATACAATGAAAAAAATCTATAGCAAATAAAATAAAAGAATAAAACAAATATTCGATAATTATACGAGATTCTTATGTTAACCCTTAAAAACCGAGATGTCCCTTTCAAGGGACATTGAATTAATCACGGTAGAATAGAGGAGTTAAGTTGTATTCATGAAAACTATTGTTTTCCTGAACAAAGACAGTCAAGATGAATGTGTGATGGAGGAAAATCACGCCAAAATAGTTCTCGTGAACTTCGACATAGCTTCCAGTGCGAGTCTGTTTTTAAGTAAAATTGGGTGCGCGAATATTTCTATATCTTGACATATACAATACAGATTTTGAGTAATATCATGAGAAACAATCGTAAACTGTAATATAAAACAACTTTGCACATTTTTTACTATTATAACAAGTCATTGTGACGTGGTAAAAAGTAACGTTTTAGAGGCATTTTTAGCATAGTAACCTAGGAAATTGTAAATTTTTTGCTCAGTCAATAATCGCGGATACCTCAAAATATCACGAGAATAAACTCACGGTGGTCCTGAACCATGTTACATGGCCACCCAAGCGGAGAGTTATTAGAATCATACTTCACCCAGACCGTCTGGGCGGAAAACATTTTTAATGCCACCCAGCGTTTTTGAGCATGATATATGCATATTCATACTCCAGAACCTCGATTTATATGATGATTTCGTCCCCTACATTCAAAAAGTTCCCTTCGGTTTTTAAGGGTTAAACTTGTATATAGACGTTGAATTCCAAATGGTAAATCCAAACTAAGAATTCTGAATATCGAAGAGTATCAATATTTCTTTCTATTTGAATCAATAACATTCCGATAAGATAATGATCGTTCTGTTGCATCGTATTCTTTCGATTTTCAGAAGTCATTCCAGAACGAATTATTAATATATCAAAAATAGCGAGAAATACATCTCCATGATGATTAATCTGTATTGTTATATCATTTAAAGAATATCTCAATTCACTATTATTTGACATTATTTTTCTTAAATATAAATAGAAATCTTTTGAAAATAATGTACATTTGTTGTTAACAATGATTCTGATTCATTATCTTTCTTTCTTTCTTATGAATTTATTTTATATTTGGAATCAAAAAATTAAAATAATTTAGATTTATTAAATCGTCACTTTTCAAATTGAAGAGTACAGAGTCAAACATTAGAAAAATACCTTTAAACACGTAATTAAATTCTCCGTCGATCTTAACGAAAAGACAAACGTGAAATTGTCATTTCTGAATTCTTCAAGATATTAATTCGGCGAAAAAATACGCTTTTCTTGTCGCCGAATTGTTATTTGATGATATCTCCAACATAAAGTATCAAAGAAAACAAATATAAAGATAAAAAACTTCATTTCTTTTCATATTTTACATCGTTCGATTGTTGTAGATAATTTATATTTTAAAATCAACACAAAGACACAAAAAAACAATGGCAACTCCTCTTGAACATTCTCAAATAATTCTTCCAATTGCATCTAAAACGATACAAGCATTTGGAACAATACATCAATATAAAATTCCAACTTTTCTTCTTATTTGGCTCGATCAAAGTATTGATGAAGTTCATAATAATGATTCTCGTCATACATTAAAACAATTACGTCAAGTAATTAACATTGTACATACATTTACAAATGTGAAACAATGTATCGATTTTATCAATAATATCAAAGAAGAAAAGATCATTTTAATCTCTTCTGGTATATTTGGTCAAATAATTGTAGAGAATATACATAATATGACACAAGTTAATGCTATTTGTATATATTGTGCAAATAGAAATAAACATGAACAATGGGTTCAAAAATGGACAAAAGTGAAAGGAGTTTTTACAAATATTCTACATATTTGTGAAGTAATCAAACAGATCATTAAACAAGACGATCAAAATTTCATATCGATGAGATTTATTTCTGCGAATAAAGAAATCTTAAAGGAAAAATTAGATCAATCATTCATGTTTACTCAAATTCTCAAAGAAATTCTTTTAACTATCGATTATAAACCAATACATTTTGAAGAATTTCTCAAATATTTTCGTGAACAATTTGTCAATAATTCAATTGAATTAGCAAATCTTGATAAATTAGAAAGAGAATATCGTCGTGAGGAATGTATTAAATGGTATACATTTCATTCTTTTCTTTATTCAATGCTTAATCATGCATTACGTTTCATGGAAATCGATTTAATTCTTAAAATGGGTTTCTACATTCGTGATCTTCACAAACATATTGAACAACTTCATTCCGAACAATATCTCAAAAAGAAAATTTTAATGCAATTTACTGTTTATCGTGGTCAACTTCTCTCTCAAACAGATTTTCATCAATTGAAGAAAAATATCGGTGGACTCATTTCATTTAATAACTTTTTATCAACCAGTAAAGATCGTCAGATTTCCTTAGATTTTGCTGGTTCAATTGCTAAACCGTCTGACATGGTCAGTATTCTTTTTATTATAGAAATTGATCCTTCAATACCATCAACACCTTTTGCCAATATTCAACATTGTAGTAATTATCACACAGAAGAAGAAGTTCTTTTCTCGATGCATTCGGTATTTCGTATAAACAAAATCCGATGTTCCAATATCGATCAACGTATTTCGGAAGTTTATTTGAAAGTTGTTAGTGATGAAGAAGATTCTCAATTGAAAGAATTGACGAAAAGTATACGTAAAGAAACATTTCCACATTTAGATGGTTGGGCTCGGTTGACCGAATTATTGATAAAATTAGGAGAATTGAATCTTGCTGAACAAATTTGTGAAAGGATACAAAAACAAACACTGACTACACAAGATAAAGCAGATGTTTATCATCGATTGGGAATGATTAAAAGATATCAGGCGAAGTATCTCGAAGCAATTGATTTCTTTCAAAAATCGGTTCAAATCAAAGAAATGATTTCGTCGATAAATCTTCTCGATTTAGCTGCTTCTTACGGTTATCTGGCTTTAGTTTATGAAAATATTGCCGATTATTCAAATGCTCTAGTCTATTACGACAAAATCGAGAAAATCCTTGAAAAAAATCCAAATTCTTTATTTTTAGCTACTTTTTGTAACAACAAAGGTGTTTTATACACAAAGTTAGCCGATTATTCACGAGCAAAATCATTACAAGAAACGGCCCTGAATATGTACAAATCGAATCTGCCTGAAAACCATCCAAAGTTGATTACATCGTACAATAGCATTGCTTTAATATGCAATAAAACGGGGAAGTACAAAGAAGCATTGACAAATCATGAGAAAGCGCGTCAAATTTGCATCAATGCTCTTCCTTCAAATCATCCTCAATTAGCTTGTTGTTACAGTCATATCGGAAATGTATATTATCATCTAGGAAAGTATTCTGAATCATTAATCTCTCATGAAAAAGCATTGGAAATCTATGGGAAAACGCTTCCGTCTATTCATCCTGATTTGGCTTTTTCGTATAATAGTATGGGTTTAGTTTATCGTCAAATGTTGAAATATGGTGAAGCACTTTCTTATCATGAAAAAGCTTTGCAAATTTATGCGAAAGTTTTTCCTTTCGATCATCCCGATTTGGCTTTTTCTCTTCAAAACATTGCCACTGTCAAATGTGATTTGGGTGATTATTCGAATGCACTTCTATATCAAAAACAAGCAATTGAAATCTATGAAAGGAAACTATGTTCGAACCATCCTGATCGAATATTGGCTTATGACAACATTGCCTCAGTTTATGAGAAAAACAACGATTATGATAACGCTGTTTTCTTTTACGAAAATATTATTAAAATTTATCATGAAGAAGAATATCTGAATGATATTCAGTTGGCGTCATCGCATAACAAAGTTGGTTTACTTTATGAGAAAATGAATAAGAAATCTATTGCTCTTTCCTATTATAAACAAGCAAGTCGTTTTTATGAAAATTCAATTGAATCATTAAGACAAATAAGATCTTCTACTCGTTCTCATATGGCATTGTTCGATGAAAATATCAAGGATTTTATAAAAGTGTCTACAAATGATGCAGAAGGAATTGAATTCTATCGACAAAATTCATCTACAAATCATTTAGATCTCGCATCATTATATGACAAAATTGCATTACTCTCGAAGGCATTGGAGAACTCTGATGAAGCTACTTTATATTATTCCAAAGCACTTTCCTCTTATGAAACAGAATCACATCAGAATCCATCTGATATAATACAAATTTATAATAAGATTGGGTTACTTTGTCAGGAAATGGAAGATTATGACAAAGCCATTCTTTATTATGAGAAGATTTTGGAAGTGTTCAAACAGCCAGAGTCTAACAATCCATCGGATCTAATGGTAATTTATGACAAAATCGGTTTACTTTATGAGAAAATGAAGTGTTATAGTGAAGCAGCTTTTTATTATAAACAAGCCGTTGAAGTGTCCAGATCAATAATATCTTGGAATCAGGTTGATCGAATTTCATCATGGAATAAGATTGGTTTATGCTACGAGAAAACAGGTGAAAGTGAGAAAGCGATATCAGCCTATGAAGAAATTATTCAAATCTATGAACAAAAGCCAATTTCGAACTACTCAAGTTTAATATTGTTGTACAAAAGAATTGCCTTACTCTATCAGAGAATGAACGAATTTGCCAAAGCAATTGAGCTTTACGAAAAAATCATTGTGATTTATGCAGAAAAAAAGCCTTCAAATCATTTGGAACTAACATCATCTTACAATAAAATTGGTCTACTTTATGAGAAAATGAATGAGAATGATAAAGCTCTATCCTGTTATGAAAAATCAATATCGTCTTATGAAAATGCAAAAAAGATTTTTGAACAAAGTTTGTCTCGACATATTCATCCGATAATCTTATTTCACGATAAAGACGATCTTTCAACTGAAAACCAAAGTGACCATTCAAGGACACTTTCGTCTTATGTCAAAACATTGACACTTCATCAGCAAACACTTCCTCCAATTCATCCGCGTGATCCAATATCATTTCATAACGAAATCAATCGGTTCTGCGGAGAATTAACTGACCGCCAGGAAACACTTTATGAAAGAGCATTGAACAAAAAACAAAAGCCTTCAATTGATCAAGATTCAGTTCATTTTCATAGAACAATCGGTACGATGGATGTAAATGTACACACGTGTTTAGAAGTTGGTTCGTTATCTGAAATTATCATTGATGTCGATCGACATGCACCAAATCGAGATTATTCCAATCGTCGAACAAAGTCAAAACAAAAAAAGAGAAAATTCTTTAAACGTCATTCTCGTTTCTCTAAAAATAAACAAAACTGATCGATTAAACATATAAATGTTAAACGCTTTTCTTTATTTCTAAGTCATAATCTCAACTCAATAGAAAAACTTTCGAAGACATAACCAAATCGAACCTTTGTACTCGAGCATTCCAACTATCAGCTACATAGAGATTGCCGTCCGTATCACATGTTAAACCTTTAGGACCGAACAGTTGATGTGATTCCTGTCCTTCTTGATTACCACCGATGATGATTTCACCGCTTCTTTCGCCTTCATGTCCAAGAATGATTCGACCATTGCCCGCATCGGCCACATAGACTTGTCCCGCTTGATCAACGAATACTCCGGCAGGAAAAGCCAATTGATTGAGTTTGTTGCCTTTGCCATTGCCACCTGCAACAGACAGACCTTCGCTTGCACCCTTTCTCCATTTCATAACGCGATGATTGTCTCGATCTGTGACATACACCGATTGTTGAGCATCGACAAACAGATAAGTGGGACAATTGAGTTGCACTTGGCGCGATCCTTGACCATTTCCACCAGCCACCAGTGTACCTTCCGCGTCTCCAGGTTTCCCTCGTCTCACTTCGTGATTTTCTCGATCCGAAACATATAGAAATCCTTCGTTATCCATTGCTAAACCCCAGCAATCAATATTGTCTATGAGAATTTCGGGATCGGTGGAATCTTCACCGTTCCATCGTATCACTCGTCGGTTTCCGGCATCAGCAATGATAAGTGACCGAGTTTCCTTATCCATCACCACATCTGTAGGACAATTCAATTGATCCGCTGCGTATCCTTGTCCATTACCGCCAGCAACGACAGTTGCACTGTCCGCCCCGCAGTCCCATCGTACAATACGATGATTGTGAAGATCGGCGATGTAGATATTTTTATCGTCATCGACGTAAATACCTTCAGGACCGGAGAGCTGGTCTTCCAGATCACCTTGCTGGTTGCCTCCTGCGACGATGGTACCTTCTTCTTTCCATGTGCGACGTTTTGATTCTAAAAACAAAAAATAAACTTCTTCTCTTCATGCTTCGCTCCAGTCTGACCTTTTTTTTCTTGGCGAATGACGGAAGCGGCTTGAATTTTACTAATCACCGTCTGCGCATGTTTATGAATTAAATGGTTCGGTGCTTGATTGAGGTACTCATGCATTTGTGTTACTTGTTTGGTCAATTGTTCCAGATCGACTTCGTTAAAATCATGTTCGTCACGGATCTGTTTCAGTTTTCCACTGAGTTCGACGACTACCGGATCGAGTTCCCCCACGATCTCCTTAGATCGTTTCAATACATCCTGTCGACATTCTTCAGCTGCTTTCCGGATGATTTCCAAGCATTTCTCTTCCCATTGATCGACTTGTTTGATCACTGGTGAGTTTCGCGCAGCAGGTAGTTGAAGTTCTATGAGTATTTGTCGCAATGAACTATGATTATCCGTGAGTTTTTCTAACTGTTCGTTCAACGTTTGTCGATGCTCTTGAAGATGTGACAAGCAGAATTCTTTTCGACACCCGCGACAAGTGAACGTGTCTCTTTCTTTGCGACATAATGAACAAAAGCCTCGATGACTTGCCTTCTTCATTAGTTTGAGTCCTCTAGAAATGAAATGAAATTTTGCAACACGTGTGCCGTCAAAAACAAAATAACTTATTTTCTTCAGAGAGATGACGACGCTTGTCAACGAATGGCATCGTGTATAGAGATGGCGTCACTTTACCCTTTGCAGCTACTTTACATTTATACTCGTGGAGAACTTTATTCGAAATTATTTTGAACTTGAAATCATCAAACCTTTTTGAAACAAAGTAAAACAACTGTTAAGTAGGTCTAACTAATATAAATGTCAGATTCGTGTTTATGATGTAAACAATTGATTGAAGAAAAGTTCTTAAGGTTGATACAGTTCAGCAGTATTCAAAACGCCACCATTATATCCTCCGGCAACTAATACTTTTCCATTTGCTAAGAGAGATGCTGTGTGGAGATATCGGGCAGCATTCAGACTGGCAGTGCTTGTCCACAATCCTGTTGATGGATCATAAAGCTCAGCAGTAGTCAATGTAGCACCGTTAAATCCCCCAGACACCAATACTTTTCCAGTTGCTAAGATCGTAGCTGTGTGGGAGTATCGACCAATATTTAGACTACCAGTGTTTGTCCACAATCCTGTAGATGGATCATACAGCTCAGCACTGGTCAAAATAAAACCTCCATTATTTCCTCCAGCAACTAATACTTTTCCATTCGTTAAGATAGTCGCTGTATGACTAAAACGACCAGTATTGAGACTACCAGTGTTTGTCCACGATCCTGTAGATGGATCATACAGCTCAGCACTGCTCAAAACACCGCCATTATATCCCCCAACAGCTAATACTTTTCCATTTGTCAAAATAGTTGCCGTATGTTGATATCGACCAGTATTCAAACCGCTAGTGATTGTCCATAATCCTGTTGACGGATCATACAGCTCAGTACTGGTCAGAGCACCACCACCATCATCCCCTCCAGCAACTAATACTCTTCCATTTGCTAACACCGACGCTGTATGCTGGTATCGAGCAATATTCATACTACCAGTCACCGTCCATACTTCTGTTGATGGATCATACAATTCAGCATTAGCCAAAAAGCTATAATAATAACCACCGACAAGCAATACTTTCCCATTTGCTAATAACGATGCCGTATGTTGATATCGAGGAATATTTAGACTTCCAGTAATCGTCCATACCCCTGTTGATGCATCATACAATTGAGCATTAGACAAAGCTCCACCACTGGATCCTCCAGCAACTAAAACTTTTCCATTTACTAATGTCGATGCTGTATGTTGATTTCGACCAATAGACAGACTGTCCGTGATCGTCCACACTATATACACATAAATTATACTGAGATCTCGTTTGAAAACTAGCAAGTCATAAATGAAAAACAATTCTAAAATTCTGTGGGTTAAGAAGTGAATTTTTGGTACGATTTTTTTTATACCGGTAACATTCTAAACTATCAGTATTATGTTATTTGAAAAGCAACAGATATATTACCTGACGGTGGTGTTGTTGTCGTTATAGTTGTTGTAACTAAATTCAAGTGTTCAGATTAAGAAATGTTGAAAAAACAAGTTCTAAGTCTTGTTTTAAAATTCGTCCAGCAAAGAGTATTAGATATCATTGTTCTTATTTTCTTTCGAAGTTTCAACAAACAGCGTAATCTTCATTTGTTACTCAAACTCAAATTTGACAACTGATATTGGCAAAGAACTTCGCGTTTACCTGTAGTAGCAATTGTTGTCGTCCACATGTTACCAAAAGCAATCATTAAATATGTACTCATTGCCAAAGCTGCCAAAGTAACAACACTCAGCGCAATTCCAGCCACAATGGCAAAAGTTTTAGCGATACTTCGTTGGAAATCATTCGTGGTACCTTTGGTACCAATGTTTCTATAATTTACAACAACGTATACGAGAATGTGCGAGGACATTCATACTCACCGCAATTCATCGAAATTTTCAGATTTAGTGAAAACCGAAGATGTTTCGTCACTGGTTGGTTTCGCCCACCGTTGTCCATTTCCTATACGCGGAGCACCTTCAAAATGGTTATTTGGTGGCATCCAATGGTTTGCATATGGTTGGTTATACATGAGTTTTATCTAATAGTGGGAGAAATTATATGAACATATGAATTTACCGAGCATGTCAAGAGAGATTATCGAAACAAAAAAATCAGTCGGTGCATTGGTAATGACATCATAGATATGCAAATCATCCTTTGAATATTCTACAAAAACTAAAGAGCAGAAAAACAATACATATGTCAGATTCTCTATTGGAAAGGATTTGATCTGTTGGAACCTTTTCTCTCGCTTATTCAATTGAAAATACATCTGAAAGACGAAGAAAGTGAGAAAGAAAATGTTAAATCCTTTGATACAAAGTGCAGAGGAGAAATTTCTTGAACACACGCTTAATAAAATCATTGCATAACAACCCGCACTCACCATACTTCACTGGCCAATACTAAAGATACTGAGAATGTCTGCAGTCCGATTTTACCTTTTCTTTTCAGTCGATGTTTTAACAGTTACTTTGAAGAAATGACCGAGTTGAGTATTTGTTTTGTACTTTTCCTTGTCTTGTTCTCTACTGAAATTATTTTTAACTGATCAGCTTGTCAACGATAAATAAAAATCAAGAAAGTAAGTCATCTCAATGTTGAACAGAAAATGAGAAACGATTCGGTGAAAAGCACAGAAAAGAAGAATTTTCTGTTTGTGTAGTTGAGTGCTTTTAAGAAACCAGTGCAACAGTTTATATAAGAATTTTGTTGCGCTTCTAATCCGCGAAAGAAGCTAAAGAAAAAAAATATATAAAATATAAAACTGAAGAGTCGTAATTCCAGTCGCCGAATCGACGTATGACTCTATTTTAGTTTTACGCAGCAAAAACGATGTTTGTGATATAGAAATGCGTAGCTCACAGATGTTTACACTCTGTGATGAATTCGTCTTAAAGAAGAAGATCAGATTGTTCTTTTTTCGGTAAAAAGAGATTCAAAAGAAAGAAATCAAGACGACACTATAGTCGATCAATGATAAATACTCGATAAGTACACGAAGATGTAACTGAGAGATATCAAAGACAGAGGAATGTTCACAATGAATAATACTGATCGATTGATCATAATAACATATTTCTCCAATTGTAGTTCAATAAAATCGAGTAGAAGAAACTCAAAAAAAATGAACCAACTTAAGCTTCACCAAATGTACGGAGAGTTTGTTTTTGTCAGGTATATAATCGATAATCATTGTTCCAACCAATTGTTTTATTTGTTTTACATTCATCTTTGTTACTGAATTGGTGTACAACTAAATTAGAAAAGAAGAATTGTTTAGAGAAGACGAATTCGTTCGAAAATATTTTGTTGATATTTTTCAAAACCTAATGCAATGAGCATTTCATTGAATTCGTCTATGACTTTCCATAATGATCGTTCGAATCTGATCGATTATGACGAACTGACCAACGACAAAGTTGAAAATAAATGGCCTTTCTCATCATGTGGCCAAAGATGAAACGGAGAAAGTTTTGTATTTGGAATAGAAGTCAATGTAGATCAATAAGATATCGACAGAATTTCATCATCAGTATTAATTTTCACCATTCTATCAAGTTTACTCTCATTGAATGATGTTTTGTTTCATGACTTTCAGATACAAAACTGTACGGATCATTTGGATCCCAAAGATCGCGATCATAATGAACGAAATATATCTCAACTTGTGCTCAAGTACCTACATTTTATCAAAGTACAATGATATCTCGAGGATTTAAAATGAATTTTGCTTTTATTTTCAGAAGATTTTGAAAAAAAAAACTTGAAAGTTTATTTATCTTTTTGAACATAAATTCCGTGTAACGTCTCTGAATGTCATAGTATTAACAATTGAATACATTCTTCAAACTTCACGAATGACCATGTCCATGAATGGTAATTGAGCAATAAGGTCATAATCAGGATATTTTCATTAAATCCTATTTATCATCTCTATCAATTCGACTTTATCAAATTCATTGTGAAGGTTTTCGAGACCATCCGGATGTTTGGTAAAGTTCATACATTATTGTCAATCAGATGTTTCGTTGATATTCATTATGATATCCTATGGAGAAGTTCACAGCCTTCAATAAAATATAAAACATCCCTGAAAGAATACTATACATGTTGTACCTTTCAGTAAAGTTGTGATGAAACGTTTATCACTCTAACGAGATGTTTTATCATCAGTACAACTCAAAATGTTCGATAGATGAATTCTCTTTTGAATGAATTTTTGTGACAGAAGTTGAAGAAGGTCAACTTGTTTAATTCGGTGATCAACAACCATTTTTACTTGATTACGAAATCACATTAAGGGCATTTTATCGATTTATTTCGTGTTTGATATATCAAAGGAAGAATATTTCTATTGATCAATGTTATAATCCTACTGATAAGAGATGAGATTTGACTAAAAACATAACTCGAGCGACGAAATTATCCTTATAGATATTGGTCATCGAAAAGTTCGGTGATTTGTTTTTCGAGTTATTTTATAATTCGAGATCAAATCCAAATTCACATGAATCTAAAATGACCTTAGAAATAAAAATTGATTATTCCGAATTGTTTTTCTTTTTCTACATCAGTTTTAATTTTGATATCGTCAATGAAAATTGTGGAATGAAAACTTCATTTATATATTTCATAAAGTTTTCAAATAACCGAAGAAGAATTGAAATGGAGGCGTAGAAATACGTCGGATTTGGAAATATTGATAACATTGTCGAAGTTTTAAATAACAGATGAGTAGAACAACAAATAGAACCAATGATATGAGAATGAAATACATCAAAATCACTTTCGATTTTAACGACAATTCGTGTTCTGAATGAGAATACACCGTTTTTATACGTCGTTTCGTTTATTTTTTGTGTTATTCAGAAGTAAACAAGCTTCATGTGCATATGAAGAGATATTTAAAAAACTTTTGTTCAATCTGTTGCTTCTTTTTCTGTTAATGAACAAAATAGAACCTTTTTCCTTGATATCAATAGTAATTAATTGCTTTGACGCGTATAAATTTCGAACATATCTTTATCATTATGAGAAAATGACCTTATTTTATCGACACTTATATTAATATTCCCACATTGATTCATAATTGTAAAGAATGAATCGTATAAATAGGTTTGTGAATATGAATGTCAACTATTTTCTCTACATCGTCAAGATCAAATCGATAACTTCTAACTCTTATTTAGATTTCTTAAATGACTTGTGATCTACTGAGAACCAGTAGATGAGTCATTACTACCTGACGAAGAAGAATTTCGATCAATTGATATATCGATAACGAATCATTTGTATTGTTTGACGAGTTTTCATTATCTTACGATGATCATTGATAATAAAAACCGTCTTCATATGTTTTTTGTTACCAACCATTTTCATCATTTGATTCGTTGGACATTTCTGATAATAACAGAAAAGAACCCTTTGATATCATATTTTTCCAACAAACCTTCTAAAGTCAATGAGTATAAAACCAAAATTGCATATATATTTGTCTCATGCACTTGTAAATGATAGAATATTCAGAATAAAAATGTGCAATTTTATGAAATTACGCATATTTTCTCGAGTTGTCAGTTGATTTATACGAAGTATAAGTTAACGATCACGTAGAATATTGTTTCGCTTCGCTTGTCACGCTACTTTATTCAGTCGAAACGAAATCGAAACGTGAAAAACTGTCTTATATAATTTATTTTAGATAAAAACATCAAATAAAATGAGAATAATTCACATTTATGTTCTTAATATCGAATTACCAATCAACTATTTCTATTGATAATGATTCAACATCTATCAATTTGATTAATGAATCAAATCTATAAATCGGAGAAAGTTTACTCTTACTTCAAGAGTAATATTCTTCTATTTGTGAAAACACATCCCCAAACTTCTAAGAATATCGAAATCCGTCGTGATAATCTCGAATGATTTACATTAACTCTCAATATAATATTTTAACTGAATTTATTGATTAAGATATCACAAATTTATAAAAAAAAAAAAGAAAAGTAGTATAAAACTTTGATGTTTGAGTTCTTAATTATGTTTCAAAATGAACTGAATAACCAAAATATTTTACTGAACGATTTTCTTATCAATATGATCGAATTTTTTTCTATCTTCCAATCCTAACTTAACAGCTTCCTCTAGACCTGAACATGTAAGAAGATAATCTTCTTGACCTCCTTCGATGAACTTTGAGGCATCGTATAACGGATGAAATGTAGCATCTATTTTCAACGATTCAATAATATTGGTAATATTTGGTCCAAAATATTTCAAATTCTTCGGCATGGTCTTTCGAACAAGATTTCTAAATTCTTCATAATCAATTACCTTCAAGTCCGGTAAAAGTTTCTTCAATGCTCTATTCACATATATACGATGTGGAATAAATGGAGCCATAACTCGTCCGACTTTGTCAGGATGATTTAATGTTAACATATAATTTTCAAGCAACATTTCAATTGGTGTAAAACCCATGGCGTATTCGAAGGCATAGCCTAACGTAGCGAACATACGAGAAATACGCCAAACTGCATAAGCTTGACCTGGGTCAGTTGCACCAATGATATAAAGTGGCTCAAAGAGTGTACCTTTGAGACCTTCATCCATTTTAGCTTGCATATAATTATACAACCATCTCTTATATTGAAAATAACCATTAATCCAATAGAAATCTTCTTCACAATCAGAAGGCAGATCGTCCATTAAACGTTGTCCATAACTTCCAACAGCATAAAGATGTTTAGGATACTCAGGATCCATACAATATCGTACTAATGCTTTCGTACAATTAATCCACGGTTGAAAATATGCTATTGGTTTACCATATGCCGTATCACATGCCAGATGATGAACTGATTTAACAGTTTCTTTATATTGATCGAGAATTGGTTTGATTGAATCATGTTTATTGACAAGATCAATAGTAACAACTTCGACTTTTGATTTGGCTTCTGAAATATCAAGAGGAACTTTGAATGCATCTATTTGTGATTGAATAGTTCGCCAAAATGCATCATGATCGCTATTTCTGGTAACACATATTATTTGATCAATATTTTCCTGATGTATCAAATCAGACAATAAATGGATACCAAGATAACCTGTGGAACCTGTTAAAACAACTGAGTGTACCATCTAAAAGAGACAAATCATATATGTATTGTGTTGTTTCAATTCGAAACTATTTACTCTAAGACGTCGTTAAAAGGATTAATCGTCGACATACCTGTATAGGATCAAATATTGTTTCGCTCAAGCTTTTCACTACAATGATATATTGATGGTAATGAATAATTTTGTAAAGAAAATCTTACCTTATATAGTAATCGTTTTGGTAGAAGGAGACAACAGTAATTATAGTATCGAAGGACCTAATATCGGTTAGCGTGACCGAGACGTACTGCGTAGGGAAAAACAAGTCAAAAAGACGTCACTTCGATGATAAAACATCGGAATTTGTTTTCAAAATTCATTTATTTAAACCAAAAGTTATGATGGATAAATAACTTATTTTACAGAGAAGTATCGATTTTCTTTTCAAACATATAACATAAAATAGTTGGCTTTATCTCTAAGCAAGTTTGTCAAATAAACGTGGGAGTGATATCAAATGAAACAACTGAAATAATCAGGGAAGTACCTACAATGGTTAAAAGAAACAAGAGATAATTACGTTTATCAAATAAAGACCAATGAAATTATTTTAGACACAAAAACACGAAGTTAATGCGAAGAATACGCCAACGATTGACACGTTCCTTGCATTTCTTTTCTTCTTTAATCATGGTTATCGATGCATGAAGTAAGTAAAGAAACATCATATGAAACGAATAAAAAATTGCATACAGATATCAACTTGTCAGTAGGCGTAATTGACGAAGGTTTTTTTTGTTGTTGTTGTTTGTTATTCATCAAAGGATCAAAGTATATGAAAGATGAAATACGATCGAATGAGAATTTCTGTTTTGACTGATTATAATGTGATTTGGTTTTGGTATTTTTTCTTGCGAATATAATTGTTGATTTGTCAATCGATATGATAAAGTATCTCGGATAAGTTCGAGCTACAACATAAGAAAGGCCTTGGATATCAATATGCACATTCGTACGGAAGGTATGACAATTGAAATATGTATAAAAGATTTGAGCACATACTAATCAATATCAATTGAAATTCAAGGATTTATAGATTCAATAACAATGTTATTCTGTCTTATGGAAATTGGATTTGTATTTCGGAAATAGAATAGAAAACAGATAATGGCCTAAGATCTTTCTTTTGGATTTCAACTGCAAATTTTGACATTTATTTCTGAAAAGATTTTAGACATAGTATGTATTAGCATTATCACCAATCGACAATAGAGAAACAATTCTTGATTCTTAGCTATACAATCGTTGAATGTTATTGTAGGAAAAAATAGATAAAGAAAAATGGTAGAAGGTCATATCGACGTGAATGAATCGTAACAGTATAAGCGTAAATATTTGATTTATACTCAGCATCTATTTCATAACTTTGGCGTGTTTGAATAGAATGATTCGTCTCTCAATACAAATGAGAAGATAAATGTATCTTGTAAATACTTTTCTTTCACTATTAAGCCCACGGCGGCCACATGTTTCGCTTGAGTATTCTTTCTTTCTTTCCTTCTTTACATTACTTTTGAAATACAGTGAGAAAATGTATAATCATTCAACCATTTATCATTGAATAGATCAATATTGACAGACGACATAGACAGAAATATTTGATATTATTCATCTTCATACAAAATGAATGATAAAGAACCATTGGTGAAGAAAACTTTTGATCGATTTAATAATGAAAATTCTGATGAAGATAACAAACCGAAACAAGAATTCTTAACTAACAGGTACGATAAAGTTACTAACGATCGTAATGATTTCTTTTCTCGTCATTCAATGCGAACACAAAAAACAAATAAAACGTGTCAATTTTCGCCTTTCTAATAGAACGAAAAAATTGTGTTTATTGATAAAGAAAGGTTAACCTGTTTCTCCTTGGAACATTTCTCTCATATTAATTCATTTCGAAAATTCTTCCAATCGTAATTTTTCAAATAGATTTTAATAACAAAAATAGAATTTCTTTTCTATTGGCTCTAGTTTTTCTGATTGGCGTCAATGGTTTGACAACAGAACAGTTGATAAACAAAATGGAAACATCGATGATGACACAAATACAAAATACAAAAACGATATGGTCAGTGTTATTGATTTAGTAAGTCAATTTTCTCATAAAAGATACATTAATTCACATATTCAATATGATTTAAGTTTCGTTTTGCTGATCGTATTGATTATATATTAATGTTTATTGGTATATGTTTTCTATTAATAATGGCTGCTGGTATTGCAATTACTCAAGTTACTTTTGGCCAATTGATCGGATTATTTGCTGAAGTTAAACTTCGGGAAAATTGTCATCATCATCGACAGACTTCTGGTATTAATAATTCAAGTAACTATGTATGTCCACCTGGTATAGATATCGATTTAATATCATATGTAGAACTTCAATTGTAAGTTTGACGATTTGAGAATATTTCTATGAAGAAAGTTGTTTTCAGATTGTGTTATTATGATAATATTACTGTGGCATCTTCATCAGATGTATTCTCATCGTCACTTCGAAAGAAAGTAATGGATCCAATTTATCGATTGATAAGTATGTTAATTAATATTCATATATGAAATAATCTATTATTTCTTCTTATGTCTCATTAAAGTTGTTGGTATTATTGAATTTATCTGTACTATAATTCTATTTATTTGTTGGACAGTTTCACTCAAAAGACAAACATATCGTATGAGTATTCGTCTTTTTCAATCACTTCTTCAACGGGTATTTTCATACGAGAAAATCGTAAATGTTCTCATTTGAACTACTTTGTCTATGTGTTTTTAGAACATTTCGTATTTGGATAAAGTTGCAATTGGTAATATCAATTCCAAGTTGTTCGAGTGAGTTATTTCATATAAAATCATTTCATATAAATAAATTCTTTCGGTAGTAATATACGAAAGATTGATAGTGGTGCTGGTTATGAATTCTTATTCGTAATCGGAGTGATATTTTGCATTGTCCTGGACATAGTAGCGTCATTTATTGTTAATTGGAAATTAGCATTAGTGATGTTGTGCATTTTACCTATAATTATGATAACATCGATGATATTTTCAAAGGTACGAGAAATTTTTCTAACACAGAAAAAGATTTAGAAAAATCTTTAATAGATTATTTCTAATGAGGAAATCAATGTATTGAATTCGTATTCAAAAGCTGGACAAATTGCTGAAGAAGTATTCAGTTCACTTCGAACAGTTCTCTCACTCAACGGTTCGAAATTTGAACAAAATCGGTAGAAAAACTTTTCTTGAAACTAATTTCTTTGAATATTTATTAAATTGTTTAGTTACGAACATGAATTACATTCTACAACTCGAAATAGTATTCGACAGGGTGCTGTTTTTGGATTATTTGCTGGCTGGTTATCATTTAGTACATATTTAATTTATTCAGTTGGCTTTATTTTTGGATCTACTTTCCTCTTTTATCATAAAAATGAAGAAGTCGATTTAGTTGAAATTACTATTGTAAGTATTCACTAGAACGATATTTATATACGTTGCTTTTTCTCGATCGACTGTAATTATGGGAATCAATTGTTTTGTTTTTCCCATAGGTCCTCTGTGTGTTCGCACAATCGATGACTCTTTTCAGTTTTATTGGACCTTTTCTTCAGACAGTTTCCGAAGCTCGAAGTGCAGCAGTGCCAATATATCGACTTATTGAGGCCGTATGTCATACGAAACTTCTTTTTGATTTGATTCATTTTCATGATATAGGGAAATGATGCGAGTATAAATGAAACAGAAATATGGAACGAGAGTGTGACCAGTAGAAAGCTTATTAATACCAATATTGATATTAAATTTGAAAATGTTAATTTTATTTATTCATCGCGAAAGGACATATCTGTGTTAAATAATCTGAATTTTATCGCTCGTGCTGGTCAAACGACTGCTATTGTAGGTCCAAGTGGTTGTGGTAAGTCCATTGTATTCGATAGACATCTTATTGATGAGATTTCTTTTTAGGAAAAAGTACATGCTTATCACTTCTTCTACGATACTATGAACCATCGTCAGGACGTATTTTAATTAATGGTCAATCAATTAAAGGATATGATCTCAAACAACTTCGACAAACAATCGGAGTTGTTAATCAGGAACCTGTAAGTTAAGACTTCTTTTCTTTGTTTTCATCCATTTCTTCTAGATACTTTTTGCTACGAGTATCGCGGAAAATATTCGCTTTGGCAAAGAAAATGCTACAATGGCAGAAATTGAAGAAGCAGCACGACAAGCAAATGCACATACTTTCATCATGAAATTGCCAAATGTTTGTCGATGGAATTTAAATTTATCGATTCATATGCATCACTTGATTTCTTGTTTAGAAATATGAAACACTCGTAGGTGAACGAGGTGTACAATTAAGTGGCGGTGAGAAACAACGTATTGCTTTAGCTCGTGCTTTGATCAAACAGCCGGCTATACTTCTATTGGACGAAGCAACTAGTGCACTTGACAATATTAGTGAAAAACTCGTACAAGAAGCACTTGACAGAGCCTATCAAGGTATTTATACACATAATAGAAGACAGATATTGATATATTTTGTTACATTTAGGTCGTACAACTATAGTCATTGCTCACCGTCTAAGTACAATTCAAAACGCTGATCATATTTATGTATTAGATAATGGTAGTGTTATTGAAGAAGGTACCCATGAAATATTAATAGCGAAGGAAGGAAGTAAATATCAAGAAATGATAAAAAATCAACAAGTAGAAAAACTGGATAATAGTGAAGATGATTTATATCGAGGAACAACAGTAAACGAAGGAGTGGGTCGACAAAGCAGTACGTTGGAATTCGATTATGATTTGTTTGTCTTCTATTTTTTACATTTTTATACTTGCGTAGCTAGAAACTCTCTCTCATCAAGTTCTAAGGAAGCTCCAGATACAGACAAAGTAAAAGAATTCACATAGGGTTTGATATATGGAAAGTTAATTAATAATTTCTTTCTTTTGAAGAAAGAGCAAAATCTCTTGGACGAAAGATCTATCATTATGAGACTTTTGTCAATGAACCGTCCAGAATTGTTTTATCTTGTTATTGGCTCCATAGCAAGTATATTCAACGGGATAGCTGTACTATTTTTCGCGTTTCTCGTTGCGCGCACAATCTATGTAATGTTGCAAAGATCATTCGAATTGATTCTTTCTCTATTGATTTGTTTTCTAGCAATTTGCTATCTGTGAGTATCTGGAACGACGTCAGAGAATATTGACTTCTAGTTTCATGCTTGCATCAATGGGTCTTTTGGTCTGGATATTTCGTTTTGTTCAAGTAAATATACTTCTCAATATTCTACTTGAACTCGTTCCTTTGTAGTACACAGCGTTTGCCATATCAGGATCGAAACTGACTCATCGTGTTCGTTCCACAGCATTTCGATGTTTTCTACGACAAGAAGTTGCCTTCTATGATCGTCCAGAAAATAGCACTGGTGCCATATGTGGTCGTCTCTTTGCAGATGCATCAGCAGTACAGCAGATGAGCGGCACAAGATTAGGACTTATTTTTGAAACTGTCGCATTGATTTTTTTCGGTCTTTTATTTGGCATGTTGTTGAGTTGGCAATTGACACTGATTGCATTGTCTCCTCTACTTCTTCTCATTCCTGCTATGTACACGAGTGTACGTGTAGAAATGTGGTTGAATAGATTATGTGATCGCGTTCGTGGACAAGCGAATATGGTAAGATCAAGAAATTGTTTGTTTCATATAATGAATATTGCACAATTATTCGTCTGGTATTATCTTAATAGATTGCAGTAGAAGCTATTCACAATATGCGTACAGTTAAACATTTATCTGCTGAACGAATCATTTTGAATAAATATTCCGAACAGATGACTGCCGTAACCACGTTAGTTTACATCATATAAAAATGAAAACGTCTTCAATTTCATCTTACTCTTTTATAGATCATACCGAAAATATTCGATAGTATTCACAATACCATATGGTTTATTATGGGTAATAGATTCAGCCACAACGGCATTTCTATATTTGTATGCTCTTGTTCGTTTTGAACGGAATCAATTCACCTTCAATGATATCATAGTGTAATCATAACATCAGTTAGATAATCTAACGACACTCTATTATAATATATTGACTCTTTTTTAGAATCATTGCATTCGTTGTTTTCGTTATGCAAGCAGTGCGAAGTGTAGAATCTATGTAAGAAAAAGAATCGATTTTTAATTAAGATATCAGTTCAATATGACACTACAGGTCAAAGCAAATTGGTACTTCTCTATCTTCGATTAAAGCTCTTCTGGATCTATTTGATCGAACCCCAGCTATCGATAATACATCGATTGAAGGAGCCACGTTGGTAAGGAAACAAACATGTCTGTTTAATTCGTATATTCACATGTCGTTATTTTGATAATATATGCCTATAGGTTAATTTTGCTGGACAGATCGAGTTCAATCAAGTGAAATTCTCTTATCCTACACGTCCAACAATTACTGTTCTTAATCAATTTCAATTGAAGATTAAGTCTGGTAGGAACATGATTCTAATTTAGTCTATTTTATGTGCTCTTTATTTAGGTCAACGTGTAGCAATTGTTGGTAAGATCTTTAAACTAATTGTTTCTTGTCGTTTAATGTAAATGTGGTATATGCGAATCAATAGGCGCTTCTGGTTCTGGAAAATCTACCGTTATCCATCTATTAGAACGATTCTACGATGCTGAATCTGGCCAATTGGTTAGTATGTTTCTCTAAAAGAGTCTTTCTGTCATTTAAAAAAAAAGGAATGTTGTTCTTATCAGTTGTCTTGATTTATTCGATGACGATTGAAAATAATCTCTTAATTACATTTAGCTCTTTGACGGTATTGATATTCGACAGTTGAATATTCTATGGATTCGTTCTCAGTTGGGTCTTGTTGGTCAAGAGCCAGTGTTATTCAATTTAACAATTGCAGAAAATATCGCTTATGGATTGCAGAACGTTTCCGAAGAAGATATCATTAATGCGGCAATAAAAGCGAATGTTCATGAACTTATTCAACGATTACCTCAAGTTAGTGCATGCAAAAGATTTTTCTCTCATATGATACATAATTCGATTGCAATTCTAGCGTTATGAAACAAAAGTAGGATCGAAAGGTAGTTTCTTATCAGGTGGTGAAAAACAGCGAATCGCGATTGCGCGAATACTTCTTCGAAAACCTAAAATATTGCTACTAGATGAAGCTACAAGTGCTTTGGATTCATACAATCAACAAGTACGTTTAGTCTTTTATATCACACGAGCAAATCGTTCAACATATTTATCTCATAGATAGTACAACAGACACTTGAACAAGCTCAAAAAGATGACCCTAGTCGAACATCGTTGATTATTGCTCATCGGCTTTCAACGATTCGTTCATGTGATCTGATTGTTGTTGTGGACAAAGGATGTGTTGTTGAGAGCGGCACTGATGCAGAACTAATACAACGACGCGGCGTTTATTATACAATGCTCACTAGAAATAGTTCCTAATATTCTATGATGTTTTATTAATAAACTATAGCGGCAGCACTCGGTGACGATTAAAGAATAACAGGGAAGAAAATACTACGTGTATCTTTACCTTTTCGGCCGTGTATAGCACGAAACGGCAGTTTAGGTTATATCGCTCTATTCAAAAGAACTACCAAGGGGAGTTTCTTCACCAAGATTCACTGTCTGCCATTTTGTACTTCACATCCATTCGGTTTAGTGAAAATCGACAATCTTGCAGATTTGAAAAACTGCATAGGCTTTCCTAGGAGTCTGTCAGTACAAAAATTCATGTAGTACTTTACTGTCCTGACTCACCCTCACCCTCAAGATGCGACTGGATTAAAACAAAAAATGACACATCCATATGCTTTTCTTCCATTTACTTCAGGTCCACGAAATTGTATTGGACAAAATTTTGCACTACTCGAAGCTAAAGGAATACTCGCTATGCTTGTACAACATTGTAGTACGTGTACAAAAAAGAGATTAATTGATTATTTTTTTTTGTAATCTGTGAACTACTATGGTGAAGTTTATATGTTGTTATGTTCAGAAATGATCGAAATAAATCAAACAAAAGTGTCTTAAATACACAAGAACTTCTACTATGATATTTACATCATTCTGTTGTGTTCTCATTGGCATAAACAACATTGTCTATCTGAGTTGAATTGCTTCTTCACACAGGTTATTTTATTTATGAGAATGAAAGAGAATTAATCAGTTGAATAATCTGTTAGACATTATTGTTCATTCATTCATCGAGAATTCCGTGGATCGACGTGTAATTCAATGGTTTAATAACTAATCACAAATAACTTCGAAGTAGAAAGAGAATTAATTGTGTATATGAAATTGAACAAGAAGATCAATATGATCAACTCCTGACTCTTTTGTATGTGTTTGTTGATGACAATCAATCGATTTATATTTCAGACAGTTCAAATCATCGTACAAAAGTGAAGTAGATGAATATTGTCGATGAAATAAATGATCCGATTGATTTAACATTTGATATGAAAGAAAATCTTTATGTTCGTGATATCTCACCAGATCAAGATCGACGATTTGATTTCGTTTTTTGAGAAATATAAATTACAAGAATAAAATGAACAATGACACAAAAAACTCTTCTTATTTCGAACAATAGTTCGCATAAAAAACCCACAGTGATATCAGCGTTTTTCTGTTTACGAGACATTCATAAACTCTTGAAAATCTTATATGAAGTTAAAGAAGATTATGTACGACCGTCTTTTTACGATATGAGTATAATCAATGGTTAAAAGCCCATTTGATTACTTATTGACGTCTTGTACAAACCTTAATGACAGTAAAACATCAAATGATAAAAAGAGATCAGAGCGCAGTCATTGAAAAGTTCCAATACAATGTTTTATTCGTTACTTTATTCGTTTTCTTAATCTGCATTGTATTTAACTCGTTCTGATGTCGAAAACAGTTGTTCCATCGTTGTTAACAATTCCAATCGAGATTGTTTATCGAATTCTTGATCAAATGATTCCAAAAATATCATGAAAAGTCTACGCGAAGTTTGTCAAAGGCTAAACAATGTCATAGACACCTATTCACCATAGAAAGTAAGCGTTTGAAATGCGTCTTCAGCAAACTTTCACATAAATACTGGAGAAATTCGATCGTGTTTTGTTAAAAGCTGGAGAAATGGATTCCGATCGATTCGCACCACTTGCTAATGCTCTGAAATTCAATAAAGTAAGTTATGAATTATTGAAACTGTACACAAAAATCATCTCTCTCTCTCTTATCATCATACACGAACAGACAGTCACGAAGTTCGAATTCAGAGGTGATCATATTGGAAGATGCGGTGCTGAAATGTTGGGTGAAGTGTTAAAAGTTAATCAAGGATGTTTCCATTGGTGAGATCACTGATGATTTAATTTTCTACGAATCGTTTTGACCCTGCAGGAGTGAGAGCATTGGGTAATTAATTAAAGTTCAATCAGGTATATTTTCCACGATTAAAAATCGAAATCATTCATATAACAACAATTGTTTATGTTTTAAGGGTGTAAAAATGGTCGATCTAGATACCTGTACAGCTGGTGGCGAAGGTGCTGAAGCATTTTTTCATGCATTGACAACTAATAGAGTAGTTTCAATTTTTGTTAATCAAGACGATCAATCATAACACGTCGATGGTATTTCGACACTTCAAACATTGGTCATACGTCGCTATAACATCAACTCATCGAGTGTTCATATTTTGGTAAATGCACTGAAAGTTAATAAGGTTCATCACATAATTGACTAAGCAAATATAGAAGAATGATTTTATTTTATGTTCATAAAGACATTGACGGAACTCGATTTCGAAGTGAATTTCCTAAATGATAATGGTACACGACATTTAGCAGAAGTATTGAAAATGAACAACGTAAGTTGCAATCGTCGATGATCTTCGATCACGTTCACTTTTCTTTTTATCTATACAGACACTCACAACATTGAAATTCCGCTATAATTTTATCGGTTCAAAAATCACGTATGTTTTCGACATGATGAATTTCAGAATCATTCGAATTTTTCTTTCCATAGACACTGAAAAAAGTAGAACTATACCGAAATGAAATTGGTGAGGAAGCTTCGGCAGCTTTGGCATCTGTTAAACGAGTAAGACAGTCGATGTTTATTGCAATAATACATCGTTTTGCCTACTAAGATGGACTTGAACTCAGCTTCTAAATTTATGAGTAGAATGACATTTTTTCTTCGGAAAATCTGTATGAATAACAATCGTTTCGGCTACAAGTACAGGATATTTTCAATTCTCTTCAAATAAAAATTTCTATTAAACAAGAAAATTGATCTAATTTTGTACATGTCTTGTCTTGATGAGATTTCTCACACATTGCGCAAATTAATGAAAAAAACAGAACTTTTATCCGCTGTTTCACCATCCATAAACTCTTGAAAATCGACAACAACGATTTGTGGGTACGATTAAACACAAAAGTGAATAGTAAATAACAAAACTATATCAAGTAATTTGTTTTTTGATTAGTATATTGGAAAGAACTCTTATCAGACAATATTTTAAAGGAAAAAGTCACACTTTGCTGATTTTGTATATGGAAAAATTATTTTACACGTCATTTTTCTGTTTTTTAAATTAGCTGAATTGCATTAACATACGTGACTATATTCGTAGTACTCGAAAATGCTTCAACTGAATATAAATTAAAGAAGATTAAATACAATGTTGACAAATCTTTGAAATTTTTCGAACAACGTGCTTCGGATGCTGTTAAAATAACATGCGTTGCTTTTATTGGTGGTGTGAAAGAGATGAGCGATACTTGCAGTCAATTTCTTAATATTACACAACAAGAATCAAATGAGCTATTAGTAATTACAACACGTCTGAATCCAGATGGCCAACAACAACAATAAGATTGATCAAGGCAGAGAAGGTTGCTCTGAGTAAAAAAGTTCGACTGGACTCCGTCCTTATATTGTTTGTCGAACCCAATATTTTGCGTACGGCATTTGTCTTCAACGGTACTTACAGTTGATTACGTACGATGCATGCTGGACATTTGCGAAAAGACCATAGTTACTCCTTTCGATGATCACAGGTGCGTGAGTATCGATACAAAATGTACACACATCAACAAATACGATTTTCTATTCCACAAAATGATAAAGGCGCTCGATTATTTTCTATAGTGGGGAGGAGAACTAGCTCACACCGAAGGCCCTGATAATGACATCATATGTCCTCTGGAAATACGATACAAAAGAAATAGAGAAGTCATAGCACACGTAACCGCCACATGAGGGTGAGAGCGTATCACTAACAAACGCAAGAGTTAAAACAAAAGATTCTGTAGCTTCTGAGGGCCGGTGGAGATGTCCCTCACTATAACTTCGTCGTTTTCTGAAATAACCATAGAGATTCTAGAAGGGGTAGTGTACACAATCCTGTACTCACTTAGACCAAGTAAATGCCTATGTAATAATATACATATCTTCATATGTGAAACTCCTGGATATCGCTACATTCTGACTACTTATTGTACTCGCACTCTCGCAGCCCTCAGAAGAGAATACACTCTGTTTTTCGTTCACACTCCAACAGAGAATATAGAGTTGATGTACTAAAGAACTGATTTTATTTTCAACAAAACTATTTTATCTAGAAGATTATTCCATTAACAATAATATCACCCTCGTTTACATTTGGTTTATATCGAATTCCGTTTTGCGGCGTAATCGACGATGACGATATTTTCGACGGAACCGAAACTGGATACGGGGAATTGTTTTGTTAGTTTTTCATTGAGATTTTATCCAACATGTGTATGTCTGATCAACACACCTACTTCCTTTGTCATATGATCAGCAAATAATAACACACACCTACTGACTTCACAAGAAGGTGTATCAGGTATATATTATCGCATGTAATTCATCACTGTACTGTAGAAATCAAAGTTATTTTCATTGGTAAAATGAAGGTTTTTCTCATATTCTTGATTGTAATGGCTCTGATTCCCGTAACAATGAGTCTAATGGGTGATACTCCACATTATCCGTGGCGTAATTGTCAATGTCAACGAGGTGGAGAACGCAATGGTCATTGTCATTGTCCAGATAATGCAAAGATGGCAAATACTTATTGCCGTTATGGAGGAAATCATTGGATTTGTTTTCCTTTCAGTCGTCGTCGTCGCTCGCTGTCCCTTCAAGAGAATCATGAATGAAGATGTTCTACTGAGCAACTTTTCTTCTTGCTTATTTTTTTTCCCGAAAACCTTATTTAATCAACAAGAAATCAGAAAATAAACCTACGTGGTTCATGGTTTAAGTTCTTTTTCGATTTTGAGAATGCGAACAAGAAAGTCGATGACAGACACAACGACCGGCGTAAAAGCGCTTGAAAACTCTCGACTAATTTCACTTCTAATCGATAGATTCATTTTCATCAAGCTATGTTTTCGAGAAAAATCTAAATGAAAATGAATTGGAAGAAATTTATTTAATATTGATACTGGGTAATCATGTCGACGCGGCGACTATCGATAAGAAAAGCAATATCATTTTCAATATAGTGCGCAATTGGTCATATTCCAACAACCAGCCGCATCGTAACTTTCTCCATCTTGCCAAACAGTAAAATCTCCACGTACATCATTATTGAGAAAACGATTAACTCAGTACTTTTTATCATCTTTTTCTATGGGATCAGCAACAGCACCACCAATACCCTGACCACGTCTTGTAATCCGAAGTTGTTCTCAAGCCAGATCGTGTTACTGTATGGCGATTGATATTGATAGCTGAATAATTTGTCAGATCATCAATGTTCGATTTGCCATACTCAGTAGGACTGAATGTATTGGCTTCCTGCATACCATAAATAGCAACAACAAGAGTAAGATAAGCATATCCAAGACCAGTTGTTTTGCAAGGTAGTGACTTGTTCATTTTTGTTATTTATTCCACATTGGCATTCAGAGGAAACAATTCTACGGTTTGAAAATTGTAAAAGCTCATAAATTACTTGGTTATGTTCATTTTTCTCTCTCAGTACATATATTGCGGTTAAAAGCACGATTCAAGAGCAATAATTATAGAAAATGAATGTATGTATATGAATGTTAGAGAGAGAGAAATTGTGTATGTATCCATCATGTCCAGTTGATGAGTCTTGGAAAATTAAAAGTTGTCCCCACTTCGACCTCTTGAATATCAGGTTGGTTCTAAATGAAAGTAAACGTGATACACCGCTAAGATTAACTCCCCCTTTCATACTCATACACAACCTTACAATGGTTTATGATATCCAACAAGTAGATTGTAACAAATAAGAAAAAAAGAAGTATTCGTGATTGCGAAAATCAACATCAAAATGTGTAATTCCCCCTACACATAATCGGATACGCGTATGCACCAACAGTCTCCGAAGTGTACGAATGTGATTCTCCTTATTTTTTGAGAATATCATTCGGTTAAATCATGAGAAATTTTCATCAGACTTCGTTCGATTTCGTTTCGAGGCACATTTGATTCGAATTTTACTTGAAACATGTAGAACACAAGTGAATGCATCTTGCTGAATGTAAATTTTCCTGGTATCTGGTTGTCAAACAAAATCGAAAAGAAAAATAAACACGAATTTCTATATCGACAAGACATTCAGTGCACTTTTCTTAATTTTTTGGTTAAATAGGATTTGAAATCGACCCACTATATGACGCGAGACTACAACGTCCGAAAAATTCCAAATCCATCGATTTTCCTTGTTTGTCTTCATAGTATATCACTTCATAAGTCAATCTACATGTATAGATATTTATGATTCTAATTCAAAATTGTATAAAAATTTCTAACATTTTTGTTGACTTTTACGTTTGGTTGAGTGACGTCAGCATACATATAAAACTATCCTGTTAACTTTTCGCCTATGTGCGCATTACCTTTTTTTTTAAATATCTAATTGCTTTAATGATTGACGTAATCATTACATGTGCGTAGTTGTGTAAATACGAAAGATAAATTGATAGCTTTCGACGTAGTTGAATTATTTTACTTTGATGGGATATAAAAATAGATACATATTAGTCTCTTTCTTTTACTCTTTCGAGAAAAATCGGTATTTATATAAGGGTCACTTGTTTGACTTTGTATAATATTCTCATAAAATTACTTTCAATTGAATATTGGCTTTATTTGTCGATACTATTGTATAAAGATGGTCTATTATGTTAAATTAGTTTGTGTGACAATGATTGTTATGCTAATCATGGCCAATGGTGACGTTTTTGTTCGATCTTCTCAACTCGAAGACGATGATGCTTTCGCTGAGCACAACATTAACTTGCGTGAAGTGATTCATAGATTCGCTCGCAAGTCTGACAAATGTGTTAGTCGTGGTGATGATTGTAGCGGTGGTCGTCAATGTTGTTCCAAACGTACTTGTCATTGGTTTGGTATTGGTCCTATTGTTCGTTATTATTGCGCGTAACTTAAGTATGTCAGACATGCGGAAAAGATTTCGCGAATGAAATCACTAAAGACACAGTTTCAACTAAATTTATCATTCGAAGGTTATTTTTTATGTTTAACTTAACTTGTGTTTTGAATTAAATATTTTCAATCAAGATGGCGTAATATCGAACTTCTTGAATGATTCAGATCCGAATATTTCTAGAGCGTATAACACAATATACGTATATCCAATACTAAAGTCAATCGAATTTGTATGCTTTTATTGAAATTTTGCCAACGAAATCTTATACGATGATCGAAATGTAAAAAATAAATCAGAGCACAGATTGTGCTTATATGTATTCGCGTAATCCAATGTGTTACGGGATCAAAACTGGTTCCATCCGTATTTTATTGAATATTCTCTGGGGTAATTCACTTTACTTGCAGGTTAAATGCAGAATAGGATTGTAGAATACTCCTTCTGCTATTAGACAAGATCAGGATCGTCATCGATCTTGCTCTAATATTCCTAGTCCGGTACAAGTCAATACATCATATCAACATTGAAATTGAGAATGGCGAAAAAGTCTGATAATTATACCAATGCCCATATTTTTCATATTGAAGCATGAAATTTTCTTATAAACAGAAAAGCAAATAATATGAAAATGAAATTCACCCTTATCTTCTTAGTTCGTCTTGATTATATCACAACACAATATGCAAAAAAGCCTATTTACCTAATAATGATAACAAACGAAAACAGTATAACACTGCACATTTAAATATAGTTTTTATAATAAGGAATATCTTATGGTTACAAGTTTAAACTTCGATATGGATTCTGAAATGTAAGTATTTAGCCAGATAATAACGAAACAATAGAAAATCCATTTTGATTAAACTCATTTCTAAATGAGTAAAACGTAAGTGGTTTACAGTGAAACTTCTGACATTTCCATCCATTTCAAATTCGAATTGAGATAATTACTATAGCTGTTAATATCATCTAGTCGTGGGGTTGATTTGTCGAATTGTGGCATTTATTAATATGAAACATATTCTTTTCATTTTTCACTTTCTTGAAGTTTTTATTTAGAATTCAGAAAGACATTCCGTATAAGAACAATCGTGAAAATCAGATTTCAGATGAAGACTATGATGATTCGAAAAATGTTGCCCTAGGCAGGACCTCTCCAGTTTGTGATAAAGATAGTCATTGAACTGGTAAATTTGCAAGCAGTGGTCCAAAGAAACCACCAATTGATTTAAAAGATTTTCACATTGATTCTTCTTCCGGTATATTTGATTCTCAAAATAATTACGTTGGTTTAATGGTTTACCTACGTGACGATGAAAATTGCTTTACACTGAACGGTGTACATTGCAAAACCGGCGACATTTATATAAAGGAATCAGATTGGATCATGAAGAACACAAGAAAAAGGCGTAAGCGTGGTCAATACCTTCATGGGAGACTGTTTTTTTCAATATTTGGTTGTTGGAAAAAGAAGAAATTGAACTTTGTCGGTGCTGGATTTTCATACCAGAATAGACAGTGGAAATTTAATTCTCGTACATTCAACACGATGAATCCTGGGAAAAATGACGATACGTATAGTGATACTGACAAAAAATTAAGTCTATTCGAACGAAAATTTATACGCAAAGTCATCGATGAATATTACATAAACCACCGCTGGCTAAAATTACCATCCGATGATCGTATTCCTTTTAACTTTGAAGAATCGCGTACCGAATTATTAGTGAAAAACTGTGGTCCTTATAATGTTCGAATGACAGACATTCATGTTAACAGGAGACTTCATGGAACACTGGTATGGATTAACTATAGGCGAGGCTATGGATTTATTGAATGTATCGGGATTAAAGAAGACATTTTCGTACATTTTTCTAATTTTCAACAAGACATTTGTTCCAATAATAAAGAATGATTTTCCATATGAATTTAATAAAAGATTTAGACCAATCGAAAACATCATTAATTAGATAAGATAATTGTTTAAATCGATTCTCAGATGAAAAATGGATCTTATAAAAATGATGATCATAAAGTAGATTAGCGAATGTTCGCTCTGATAATAATAGTCATTAGAGAAAATCCAGTTGTAGTGCATAGTGTTCATTTCCGTTAAACGAAACACTTGTCATATAAAAGTTTGATCATGAACGAATAGTAAAGAACATACGTCTTATCGAAAATTTCTCTTCTAAGAATTAGCTTTCAAAGAAATAGAAGACATCGAAGATCATTTTCTTTAGAGTGCGATATTAAGGAAATAAAACAAACATCTCTCTAATCAGCTATAATCATGAATTGATCTGGAAATGAGTAGTCCGTCTGATATTTTGTTCAGCCAACATTGAAACAAAAAACTGCAAAGGTGTCGATTGCTTCGAATGAAGCAAAACTCTCAAAAAGAGAGTTAGACGTCAGCCTATGACCAATGAAAAACCCTCAATGAGATCAATTAGACGTCCAGATCTCGAAAGAACGTAAGGTCGGAGTTGAGGCTATAAATAATAGAAACTGGCTCTCACATCAGCATGAGTATTGAAACGACTAGTGATTTTTAATGATAAGTAATGAGAATACATCCTATTCCGCAATGTTGCACACTCGGGAATCAGTTCCTACGATTCCGTAGGCGGAACTGGTTCCCAAGTGTTCAACATTGCGGAATAGGATGACTGCTCTAAGTAATATGAGATAAGCTGCGAAAACTTAACTGATCCGTTCGAAATACTAACGAGGGAGCCATCCGAAGTGTCAAAAAGCTTTATGGCTCGGAGTGTGATGGGCAAGTAGGGCATACCTAGGTATGATATATCCTAAGTTGGTTCGCGCGCTAGTTGCTTTTAGCAAAAGCTATCAATTTTTCAAGTTACAAGCGATATTTAGTTTTACCAAAAATTCAAATTTTTCTTTATAAGAAAATGAGTGCAGTTTAAAAACGTTTTATTTACATTATCAGACATAGATCCGGCTCGTTTTCCTCAAATCGAGATGACTCTAGTCTCGCGATTTTACTTTACCAACTAATTAGAAAATGTTGTTTTGAAAATGCTACGGATTCTGCCGGAATTATCTAATTATATGCAGTTGAAAACTTAAGCTTGGTCTTTTTCTGTCTTTTTCTCAACATTTTCGAATATACACTTTTCCTGAATCTATGCGTGATTACTATGGCAAAAAAAACAAACATAATGGAATAACAATGAAAACAGAACACTATGGCTTAGATTAGTCAGATATCATCGATATGAAAATTAACGAAAAAGCCCTCAAAACAAAATATTTTGCTACAGTGACTACATGGAATGAATGCATATTGATCACATGAATGTACATCACAATAATCTTGTTTGGATTTGAAGCATACTTGTGTAACTGATTGAAATGGTCGAGGATCAACATCAGTTTATGCACCTTTGAACCATGATATCATACCATAGAAACGAAAAGTGGAGAGGAAAGTTGATTATGAATAATCGACTGTAAGCGAATTATATTATTTCTTTGTGCAAGATGAATATCTATTTCATCAAGAAGAACACGCTCGTGAACCCTACGGACGATCGTTTTCCATATGTCTGCTCAGGCCAACTATCAGAAAGAAGTAATACAGACTGTAATGTCAGTGATTGAATAAGACACTCATTACGCTAATATTCCACTAATGACGTAGTTAATTTTCCTGATGCGCTGCATGTAACAACAACATTCTTCAACTGCGGAAGATTTGCTTTGATATTATCGTTCATTCGGCCATTTACTTCTTTGAGACATATATGAACAGGGCCGAAGATCTTACCACTCATGGTGATCGTCGGTTGAACCGTATAACTATGAGTAGTCGCATTTATTGAACGTACGGTGGCAAGCGTCGTCTTTTCTCTTTGATATGAGAGAGTTCGAATTGACGGAAACTCAAGCTGAAGTCCTGCTTGATCTGTATATTCAATACGAAATCTTCATTATAATAAGGTAACACTGTTTAACTTCAGAAACAAATTGATCAGCTGATTTTTGAATTTCAGCTTCACTGACGATCTCACGCTTTGTTACTACCTAGAAACGAAGCGATTTACAGATCAACTTATCCTGTAAAACTTTCGTATGGTTGGTATGATTTGTTTCCTAACCTTTATAATTTTCCTCGAGCAAATATTGTGTGTGTGTTTAAAATTCAAGAACCAATGATCTGAAGCCACGAAACCATACAATGACATTATCCTTGCTTTTCGTACAGCCCATCTTTTTTAATCAATATCATGTACTGCACAGAGAAGACCCCGAGCACGCTCGAAATTGTTACAAACGTAGTCGTCTACTGAATCCACCTTTTGTTTCTTCGTTCCCCCTTTCTCAATATAGTCTCAGAAGCGGGACATGTACGATTGATCTTTGATTCTCCTAAATTTGTTCTGACCATTTCTCCATGGATGAGATCGTTTTCCCGTTTTTAGCTTAATTGCATCATAATAATCAAGCGCTCGCTTCATATGTGACAAAGAAAATGATTCGAACACCGGATTTTCTTCGTCTTTTGCATCGTAATCCATATCTTCCTCGCATTCCTCAATTTCATTAGCCATTGTATTATGATCGAGGGAAATTTCATTTTCTTCATTGTATGACGTGCTTGTCCATATTGACTCGAATACATTAAACATCTGATCAGCAATTTCATTTTCCTGAACATACGTAAGTGATGACGAAGCTGGAAGTTTTTTACGTGTTCGTTCTTGGAACCATTACATTATTCGGTTTATTTCACTCATTGTATTTTCAGATTGTGATAAAACTACGTGATACATTACTATATATTCTTGAGTGAAAGTTTTTCTTTTTCTTTTTACTCACTGCGCCATTCTACGCATACTATAACACGAATAACGACGGATAGGTAAATGATAAATAGTTTCTTTCACACATTCTCCTTCTTTATTTGATATTCACACATGTACAGAACAAGACAAAATTCATTTCATTCTCAAAATTATACCCATCAGACGAATAAACACTTTTTCTTATATAGAAAAATTTGAGTTTTTGGTAAAACTGTAAATATCGCTTGTAACTTGAAAAATTGATAGCTTTTGCTAAAAGCAACTTGCACACGAACCAACTTAGGATATATCATACCTAGGTATGCCCTATCTACCCATCACACTCCGCGCCATAAAGCTTTTTGACACCTCGGGTGGTTCCCTCGTAAGCCAGAAAGGCTCCAGTTGTAAGCATCAAAGCAGGATTTTGTTTCTGATAAATAATTATGACATACGTTCTTCGTTTTCTCAAGGAAATAGAGAAAACACATTGGAGGAAGTAAAATATTTTATGCGACAGACGTCTTTGTTAAGGCTTTCATCAAAATTAGGGCAGGCTAACGTCCACAGAGAGAGAGAGAGAGAGAGAGAGAGAAACAACAATAGATATAAAAATAAAAATAAAAATGTTTCAAAAGTTTTTTTCCTATTTCATCAGTAAACACGTACGACAATGGATCGATGTAACAGGACTGGACAACAATTAGCAAATCTAAATCTGTTTGATACAGAAACGAATGATGAACATGTAAAACGTAATCAAATTCTTTCAACAAGAGTTTATATTTTTTTACTACTTTTATCTTTATTCTTGCATACTTTATATCTATCATTGACGTCGCAATCCATTCTGATGGCGATTAATAAGCCAAAAATCAAAGAATACCAAAAATTACAAGAGAAATATTCCGATAGTTTACAGTGCCCATGTGAACGTATCGCGATTTCATACGAAGAATTTATTAATTCAACTGTTCGTTTTCATGAAATTTGTACATCGGATTTTGTTAGCCAAAGATGGATTGATTATCTCTTCTTTGAAAACATAAGTTACTTACATCGACTGGATTTTCGTCGAAGTGCACCTGCAAAATTTCAACTACTTCGAACATTATGTCAACAAGCAGAAATCATAGTTGAAGATCATCTCGAAGAGTTGTATTCAAAAAAATTGATAACAAATAATTTAATTTCAAGTGATTCATTTAATCTACAGGTCGATGCATTTATAGACGTATACAAACGGAATGTAGTTCCTTCACTGGGTGATACCTCCGAATTAATTCGAATGATTATAATTAATAATGGGCTAAGTTCAGCAATAGAAACGCTATATAACTGGCAATATGAGTTCATAGGTTCCATTTTCCATCCTGAATTGGCAAATACGAATAAAAAATTCGAATGTTATAGCTCTAAAGGCACGACACATCTACTACCGGAGGGTATCTATGCAAATATCACCCACCCACCCTATAACAATGCAATTACGCCAATTTTTCGTGTGCCGGGAATGAATGTAGGTTGTAAGCCAGTTGAATCGTTAATGGAATCAACCAATGAATGTTTATTTCTTCAACAATGTCTCGATCTAGTCATACCTTATATGTATCACTCTTCACTAAAAAATAGCTCCTTTACAATCTTATATCAATCTTTATCAACATGGAATGCAACCATTAAAAAGTTAACTGAAGGTTCATTTATTGAGCATTGGATAGTAAAGAAATCTTACGAAAAATATTTTACATCATGTCAACCAGTTTTTTGCCAATATACAGTTGTTCGAAAACGTTCTTTAACCGAAATTTCAGTTGCTCTTATTACTTTATATGGTGGACTCGAAGCTGTTTTAAGACTAATTATATTACATGCTATAACATTTATTCGAAGAAAAAAACGACAACAACCAGCAGATGCAAATACTACTCGAAGTAAGTCATGAATAGAGATAGCCAAGTTCAATTCAAGTCTATTCAGAGGAAGTGATCGAATAGTTCCTTGAACGGAACTGAATTACGTACACCTTACCCTGCAATATTTGAGGGGTGAGGGTTATTAAACTGATGAGCTGTGAACTGTTTGTTCCAAAGCAGAACAAGAGTGTTCTGTTGGGACAATCGAGCCTCAAAAACCGGAATATCTATGTCTCGTTTTGGGACACGCAGTTCATCAATTCAATATGCTGTTAAGTTCCGTTCAAAGAGCTTTTCGACCAGTAGTTTCCCTAAATGAACTTCAACTCAATTTGTCTACTTTCAGTCATGAAAATATGACTCCAAAACTGAACTTCTGCTCTTATGTATAGTGTCGCGATCAGCTTCTCTCCGAATATTATTTCGATCGGTAATTAATGCGTTACGAAACATGAATATATTCAATAGTTACTCGTACGATGAGCATCGACGAAAAAGTGAACTTATTTCAACAAAAATTTATTTTCTTCTCTTGACTACTTGCTTAGTCATATTTACAGTTTATACAGCAACAGAATATCAACCACAAACAAGACAATTTCCCAATCCAAAACAAGCCGATTTCGAACGGTTGAAAAATATGTCACTGAATGGCTTTCATTGCTCATGTAGTAAAATTACTATCAAGCATTCAGCGTTCATTAGTTTCAATCCAATATATCATCAAATATGTTCAAGTGTCTTCGCATCCAATTTGTGGAACAATTACGAGGGTATATGGATACTCGATTTCGCGTCCTTCATTATAGATTTTCGTACTAGCTCAGGTCGTTTTTTTTCATTTTTATTTTCACTTTGCCAATCAAGCAAAAGAACAGTTGAAAATAATCTACAACGATTCAGTTTAACAGAATTGGTTACATCTGACGTTATGGACGAAGATCAGTTTGACCACAACATGATTTCATTAATTAGATCATTTATTATTCAAACACAACAAACTTTTCAAGAACAGACAAGTTTAATTGAAAATGTCATTTCAGGTAATAAAATTCTTGTAGGTCTTGGACAGCAATATTATTCCGAGTATGATACGTCAAACAGCAAAAAGAGTTTTTTTCCCAGAAACAACACAGGTTGTTTTTGTGCAACTCGTTTGGCATGTCAAGTCCAAGTTAACTTCGAAGATCGAGATGAACCATCGATACCTCTACTTGGTATATATGATGGCTGCTATATTTTCGATTCTTTTCTCCAATCAACTGGTGAGTGTTTTTATAGTGAAGCATGTATAATTTTAATCAAATCGCGATTACGCCACGAGTTTGAATTATATGACCGTGTGGAGCCTTTGCAATATGATGAAACAAGTCAATATAGGATAAATGACACATTTGAAAAACTTGTTATGAACCTTTTTATTGAAAAATGGAATGAAAAGTATTCCTATAGATCATATTATAGTCAATGTAATCCATCGCATTGTTCGTACACCATTCAACAACGACTTAGTCTTATACCTATTTTAACAACAGTGATTAGTTTCTACGGTGGATTGAAACTTATTTTGAGGATTTTAGTGCCAAATCTTATCATACTAATTCGATCGAAAGCAAGACAACAACCAGGTAAAAATTTTCGGTTTATTGTTTCCGATTGCGAAAAGAATTTGCTAACTGATCTTCCATTTTTAGCCATTTCAATATTCAATCGAATTCATCAATCGATACAGTTATTAAAAACAAAAATAATTCATTTGAATTTCTTTCGAAATCAATCGACTAACCAAGAAAAAATTCGGCAACAACTTTTCAGTACAAGATTATATATTATTGTGTTCATCATTGCTCTCATTATCCTTGTTTTATACACTTCAGTGAAAAACAAAAATCATGTCATATCTATTAAAATAAAAGATCTGGATCATTATGAACGATTACAAAAACAATATCCAAGTACTTTATCTTGCCCATGTACTAGAATTGCAATTGAACACAAACAATTCATTCAACTTCATCCAAAATTTCATCCTGTGTGTTCATCAGATTTTGTTAATCAGCTGTGGTTTAACTTTTTACATCTTGACGATGATGTAAGGGATCATCATCCTCGATCAATTGCAACATCTCAGTTTCAAAGTCTCTCATATCTATGTAATTTGACAAAAGAAACCGTTGATAATCGCCTGATCGAGTTTCACTCAGGAAAAATCATCACCAATCAAATAATGCCACGTGAATTATTTAAGAATGAAATTCGCTCAATAGCTGATTCACTTAAAAAATCAACACCTCGAACATTCAAACGAACATTAGATATGACTCGTGAAATTATCCATGGCAATTTTTTCATGACAGTTTTACAAACAAATTGGAAGTTTGTAGTTTTTGAAACAGATGGGCATTCTCCACTTTTTACTAAACCAGTCACATATAGAAATGGTTCATGTGCTTGTGGAAAATCGTCGAAATGTACAGAATCATATGGAAATAACGGTTTATTAGTTGGTTGTTACCCACTAGACTCTTTGTTACAATCATCATTAAAATGCTTCTATAATCGAACATGTCTAGAATCAATCCAGGAAGCTTTTAGACCCGGGTCTGATAAAAACATTTTTGAAGTTCTTTCGACGGACAATCGATCTTCGACGGATGAAACTGTTCAAGAAATGGTTGATCGTTTATTTGTTAATGAGTGGACTATTAATGACTCGTATGAGCAATATTATCAACAATGTCATCCAAGCTCGTGTACTTATTCTTTCATTCGACTTTTCGATTCATTTTTTTCTCTTGTAATAGCAATCTTAAGTTTGTGTGAAGGATTGATCACCGTATTAGAATTAATTATTCCATTTATCGTCAAAATTACCTTTCGACTGATATACAGAAGAGCAGAAACACAAGTTGTACCTCTAGAATTATCGAACTAAAACCACATTTTTTAGTTTATACCCGTTGGAGACAGCGTTCAAAACCTTTTCTAGTTGGAATGTGTGAAGAAGCAAAAACTAGATCAGCACTTCATATTGCTTGTTTGGATTATATTTATCGATGTATGTGACAAGATGATCTAAAGACTGGAAGAATTTCCATTCTCGTCTCGCTTTTTGCTTTCTTCCTTCATCCACATGTATTAGATCATGTATTTCTCCTGATCACTTAACTTCCACTGTTATTAATTATTGAGGGTGTGGGTGGGTTGCCTGGTTTTTAATAGAAACGGTAGTGTCAGATGTATAGACGCGATGGATTTCGCTGTCTTCTTGTTCTATATAGATGCATAGGGAAGAAAGTTTGTTTGTTTATTGGCTTCGTGTTCAATGCTTGTAATAGCTATCGTCGTCAAGCGTCATTGACAGTTCCATTGACGCATCGGAATGTTGACATGTACTTTGTTGCAGATAAAGTGAGCCGCGCGTGCGGCTGACGAATATGACAGTATGATTCCATAGATGGCAAAAGTTGGTAGTGAAGAGAGCCGAAGGCCTTCTGAGCGCTCGTATCCAAAAATCCACCTTTTTTCTCTTTCTGTATCAATTCTGTAAATGTTGAGGATATGTGTGGGCACCAAAAGACCAGATTCTAGAATACTTGGATAACTGAATAGTTGAATAACTGAATTCAACTTTCGAGTTTGACACTACTGCCCACGATGGGTATATTACGTCATTAACAAACTTTATTACAATTGATGTTGAAAATCTCTATACAATAATACCACGACAAGGTGCATTAGCTCGATTTTATACGAAGCATTCGAAAATGGAAAAAGTGGAACAATTGCATTGGATCATGTAATAAAAATGGCTCGTTTGATATTGGATACAAATTGTTTTGCTTAGAACAACAAACATTATCGACAAATTCGAGGTGGAGCAATGGGTTCAGCATTTACACAAGTATTAGCCAAAATTTGTATGTTTGAATGAGAATAAGATTTAATTGAGTATCAATAGCTACATCACAGCATTTATGAAAGGTAAATGGAACATATATGCTACAAACACTATTATTAATATTAACAAGTCGTCTTCTTCAACAGATACATTGATGATATATTCATGACCACAGATCAAAGTATTGAAGAGATCAATATTGAGCTAGAGAAGGCAAACAACAAAGGCATTAACATCAAACTTTCAACATGCATCAATACGTCAGTTCATTTTCTGGATGTTACAGTTAGCAATGAAAGTGGACAGTTACGCACAGTCATATATCATAAACCAACAACGGAGCCATATGTTTTACCGTATACATCTGATCATCCGCGCCACGACTATCGTAACATTCCATATGCAGCATTGTTACGTGCTGCTCGTATTTGTTCAAACGTTGAAGATTTCCACTCGGAATGTATAGGAATAGATGTGTCATTATTATTAAACAAATATGCGCCAGGTTTTATTACTGAACAATTTCAGCGTTTCTTTCAATTGAGCAAAGATGCTTACCAACGTCTACATAAAATATTCTTATATCAATCAACACGTCGTGAGAATAAACTAAACATCATGATGTACAATCCCCTTGAAAATCCATTAGTATTACAATCAAAACTGCGGAACAAGGAAGTGATGTATATACGATACTTGTTTGACTCCAACATTACCAACGGTTTACTCAAGTCAATTCTACAATTGGTGGAAACGTTACTGTGCCTTTCCGAATTCACCACTTGAGCAACTCAAAGTCATTCTAACCACAACTACCAATCCTACATTGGACTAGTTCTTTATTCATAAAAAAAGCAGACAATATCTACTCTCCAACATTCATTGCGCACCTAATCCAACAACAAGCAAAGAAGCAGCTATCATAACGTCTAACTAACCAGCTTTTCCGTTGCACTTGTATTCTCATATTATTTGACCGCAATCTTTTTGTAAAACAACATAATAAATTTCAAACAATAAAAAAGCTTTCTTTTCATTACCATACGAAGTATTACGCTCTATGCTCGTTGAAAACATACTTCGATCAACTTACGACATTCACCCGTTTTCAACTTCTTTTCTAGCCTTCACATAAGCAACAATCTTCAGGTACCACCTCCACGATTGCATCAAAACAACTTACATCATCATACTTATTTAATTATGGAACTCTTGAATTATCATCTCCGTGCAAATGATCCGTTACAGCTATTTTCATCCACTTGAACACTAGATAAATCCATACTTCTCACATTCCACTGCCAACTTTCTCCACATGACATCATCTACCGCAATTACAACGCGGAGAGCCGGTTAATTAGACATATTCGCAACCACATCTACAGATTTCCGATTCAGGTAACTAGAAAACCGTGCTACTCTTCGCGCATCCATTCAATAAATAACGCCAACATATAAGTGAAACATGTCGTACCCTTCCGCATAGTATTAGCGGTGCATGACGGTACACTGCCTTCAGTTCAGCTATTACATAAATAATACAGTTTACAAAATCTTCTATCTGATCTGTCATCACTCACCTCATTATGGGATTCTGAACTCATCTGATGATGATCCCTTAGGCAAGGATCGAAATTGCGATAATGGGAAGCTTTGACTCAACCACACCCACATCCTCGCCCTCACCCTCACCCATCTAACTGTATCCAAATTAAAAAAAACTAAAGTTTCGTTTAGCCGGGATAGGTTATGAAAACTATTAAAAATAACGTAATCAACCTGTACACGGGTATCATTATCGTCTCGTATCAGTAGATAATGTGTATGTTTACCGTTTCTTTCGAAAGCATTGACAGATGGTATCGAATAATGTTTTATTGTTATATCAATATCAATACATCACTCTTTTCAAAATGTAACTGAAAAAAATAGAAGCAAAGAAAAAAATGTTCTTCCTTTCGACCAGATGTATTGTTATTTATCTGGAAATCGTCCCATCATTTTTACTTCTGAATACGAGACACAACTAGCTGCTCCTCTTTTTGAAGTTATAAGAAAACGATAGCTTGCAAACGACAACGTATTATTCAATAGTGTTTGGATTTTGCCCAACGTTCGTGCTTTCGAAATGAATTCAAGACCTGAACTACCATTATAAATCAAAGTCCAACTTTTCCCAAGAACTAAATCAACTCTTTTATTGTTACTTCCTTCAATCGTGATTGTCGATGGAGTACGCTCTATGAAACCTTTGTTTGTAGCCATTTGGAAATTGACGAGAATGAATGGTTTACTTTGGAATGTTAAATAGAAACCAGTTCTTAAGCCGCATTCTTCAGAAAAATAGGATGATGAATTACAAACACCATGATTAGTATACTCTGTGTGTAGGTTACCATCTACTGCAGCTTCCGGTGGTTCAGTTCTCCAATATTCACCAATTCCTCCACCGGATGTAGATCGTGCACTGTTATGACCTGCAGTTGTGTTCCATATAGCATTGACCATTTCGTTTTTTTTCTTAAAAAGTTGTAAGCCTATATATAAGTATGATAAACTGAAGTTGATCTGGAGAGGAGAGTATTTAGTGAAATAAAATGTAAGATATTTGTCTATCTATACTCTGTCTGAAAACTTCTACTTAGGATTTACATGCGGAATTTTCTTACCATCGGATGGTGTTGTCGATGTGATTACCATCACGGATGTAGTTGAACTGGTCGAAACAGTGTTTGTATCAGTTTTTCTTACTAAATTAATTGTTGTAGGAACTGCAATTATTCCAACACAGAATAAACCTAGGAAAATACTGATTATCATCCACAATCGTCGTTTACGATTATTGACTACAATCCTAAAGAGTGTCTTATAAGTTTATGTTCGGTATTCGAACTAATGTAATTAACTTACTCTGTAGTTGATGCTAATACATCAGTTTCCTTATCTATATCTGTTGNTTGACAAATCATGAGAAAGCGCGTCAAATTTGCATCAATGCTCTTCCTTCAAATCATCCTCAATTAGCTTGTTGTTACAATCATATCGGAAATGTATATTATCATCTAGGAAAGTATTCTGAATCATTATTGTCTCATGAAAAAGCTTTGGAAATCTATGGAAAAACGCTTCCGTCTATTCTTCCTTATTTGGCTTTTTCGTATAATAACATGGGTTTAGTTTATCATCAAATGTCGAAATATGGTGAAGCACTTTCTTATCATGAAAAAGCTTTGCAAATTTATGAGAAAGTTTTTCCTTTCGATCATCCTGATTTGGCTTTTTGTCTTCAAAACATTGCCACTGTCAAATGTGATTTGGGTGATTATTCAAATGCACTTCTATATCAAAAACAAGCAATTGAAATCTATGAAAAGAAACTATGTTCGAATCATCCTGATCGAATATTAGCTTATGACAACATTGCCTCAATTTATGAGAAAAACAACGATTATGATAACGCTGTTTTCTTTTACGAAAATATTATTAAAATTTATCATGAAGAAGAATCTGGGAATGATTTTCAGTTGGCGTCATCGCATAACAAAGTTGGTTTACTTTATGAGAAAATGAATAAGAAATCTATTGCTCTTTCCTATTATAAACAAGCAAGTCATTTTTTATGAAAATTCCATTGAATCATTAAGACAAATACGATCTTCTACTCGTTCTCATATGACATTGTTCGATGAAAATATCAAGGATTTTATAAAAGTATCTACAAATGATGCAGAAGGAATTGAATTCTATCGACAAAATTCATGTACAAAACATTTAGATATCGCATCATTATATGACAAAATTGCATTACTCTCGAAGGCATTGGATAACTATGATGAAGCTACTTCATATTATTCTAAAGCAATTTCCTCTTATGAAAAAGAATCACATCAGAATCCATCGGATATAACACAAATTTATAATAAGATTGGATTACTTTGTCAGAAAATGGAAGATTATGAACAAGCCATTCTTTATTATGAGAAGATTTTGGAAGTATTCAAACAAACAGAGTCTAATAATCCATCGGATTTAATGTTAATTTATGACAAAATCGGTTTACTTTATGAGAAAATGAAGTGTTATAGTGAAGCAGCTTTTTATTATAAACAAGCCATTGAAGCGTCCAGACTAATGATATCTTGGAATCAGGTTGATCGAATTTCATCTTGGAATAAGATTGGTCTATTCTACGAGAAAACAGGTGAAAGTGAGAAAGCGATATCAGCCTATGAAGAAATGATTCAAATCTATGAACAAAACTCAATTCCGAACCACTCAAGTTTAATACTATTGTACAAAAAAATTGCCTTACTCTATCAGAAAATGAATGAAATTGCCAAAGCAATTGAGCTTTACGAAAAAATCATTGAGATTTATGCAGAAAAAAAGCCTTCAAATCATTTGGAACTAACATCATCTTACAATAAAATTGGTCTTCTTTATGAGAAAATGAAAGAGAATGATAAAGCTCTATCCTGTTATAAAAAATCAATATCGTCTTATGAAAAAGCAAAAAAGTTTTTTGAACAAAGTTTGTCTCGACATATTCACTCAACAATCTTATTTCACGATAAAGACGATCTTTTAACTGAAAACCAAAGCGACCATTCAAGAACACTTTCGTCTTATGTCAAAACATTGACACTTCATCAACAAACACTCCCTCCAATTTATCCTCGTGATCCGACATCACTTCATAACGAACTCGATCGGTTCTGCGGAGAATTAACTGATCACCAGGAAACACTTTATGAAAGAGCATTGAACAAAAAACAAAAGCCTTCAATTGATCAAGATTCAGATCATTTTCATAGAACAATTGTTAAGATGGATGTAAATGTACACATGTGTTCAAAAGTCGGTTCGTTATCTGAAACTATCATTGATATCGATCGATGGGCACCAAACCGAGATTATTCCAATCGTCGAACAAAGTCAAAACAAAAAACAAAGAGAAAATTTTTTAAACGTCATTTTCGTTTCTCTAAAAATAAACAAAACTGATTGATTAAACATATAAATGTTAAACGCTTTTCTTTATTTATAAGTCATAGCCTCAACTCAATACAAAAACTTTTGAAGACATAATCAAGTCAAATCTTTGTACTCGAGCATTCCAACTATCAGCTACATAGAGATTACCGTCCGTATCACAGGTTAAACCTTTAGGACCGAACAGTTGATGTGCTTCTTGTCCTTCTTGATTACTACCGACGATGATCTCACCGCTTCTTTCGCCTTCATGTCCAAGGATGATTCGACCATTGCCCGCATCGGCCACGTAGACTTGTCCCGTTGGATCAACGAACACTCCGGCAGGAAAAGCCAATTGATTGAGTTTGTTGCCTTTGCCATTTCCACCTGCGACAGACAGACCTTCGCTCGCACCCTTTGTCCATTTCATCACGCGATGATTGTCTCGATCTGTGACATACACCGATTGTTGAGCATCGACAAACAGATAAGTGGGACAATTGAGTTGCATTTGGCGCGATCCTTGACCATTTCCACCAGCCACCAGTGTGCCTTCCGCGTCTCCAGGTTTGCCTCGTCTCACTTCGTGATTTTCTCGATCCGAAACATATAGAAATCCTTCGTTGTCCATTGCTAAACCCCAGCAATCAATATTGTCTATAAGAATTTCGGGATCGGTGGAATCTTCACCGTTCCATCGTATCACTCGTCGGTTTCCGGCATCAGCAATGATAAGTGACTGAGTTTCCTTATCCATCACCACATCTGTAGGACAATTCAATTGATCCACTGCATATCCTTGTCCATTACCACCAGCAACGACAGTTGCGCTGTCCGCTCCGCAGTCCCATCGTACAATACGATGATTGGGAAGATCGGCGATGTAGATATTTTTATCTTCATCGATGTAAATACCTTCAGGACCGGAGAGCTGGTCTTCCAGTTCACCTTGCTGATTGCCTCCTGCGACGATGGTACCTTCTTCTTTCCATGTGCGACGTTTTGATTCTAAAAATAAAAGATAAACTTCTTCTCTTCATGCTTCGTTCTAGTCTGACCTTTTTTTTCTTGATGAATGACGGAGGCGGCTTGAATTTTGCTAATCACCGTCTGCGCATGTTTATGAATTAAATGGCTCGGTGCTTGATTGAGGTACTCATGCATTTGTGTTACTTGTTTGGTCAATTGTTCCAGATCGACTTCGTTGAAATCATGTTCGTCACGGATCTGTTTCAGTTTTCCACTGAGTTCGACGACTACCGGATCGAGTTCCCCCACGATCTCCTTAGATCGTTTCAATACATCCTG